GTCCACCTGACCAGACCATCGGGCTGCCTCCTCTTTCGGCAACACATAATCAGGAAACCTTTCTCCATGATGTCTTCAGAACTAGCCATGACCAGCATTAAAGTCCAAATAAAATCTTCATTAATTACTGAACACAACGTGGCCCAGTGTTCTGCATTTCATCTACCATTTTTCCTTGCCCAGTTCAGAACAGCTTGTCATTAACGGCGTCTAAGGTGAATAAAAACCATGGGTATTTTTGAATTAAGGTCTGTTTTTACAAATATTGTTTTTGATGGTTTCAGAATAAACTCGTAATCCAGTTGCTACCTGATGATAATTCTGAAACATTCATGCAGTTGCAAATTGTTGTCTTTGTACATGCACAGAAATAACCTGCCTAAATGGTGACAAACCACTTTTTAGAAAAATCGAGTGCTGACTTGTGTCCTGAGATGGTCTAAAAGATCCATGGATCATACTCCTTTTCGTACTTAAATGTCTGGCAGCATCACTTTGTGACTTCAGGATTTCCATGAAAAGATTTGATTTGATTCAAGAACCGACATCACAGCACTTAGGGCATTCCCATAACCGCTCCGTCCCCATCTTCAGCAGCCAGCGAAGAGTATCCGATACTAATGGTGCCAGTAGCTTTCTGATTAAACGTCCGTCTTGCATTTCCTCTGAGCCTTGAGCTTCTGCCAGAACCTCATGTCACCCCCAACTGCATCAATCTCACCAGACTGTGGTGATCCATCTTTTCCTCCGCATTGTACATGCTCTCCCACAAGGCAGTAACCATGTCTGCCCTATCATGTAGCAGTATTCCACCAAGTTGTGCAGAGCCAGCCAGTCTGTCCGCCTGTTCATTTCCCAACACACCGGCGTATGGCCCGGTGAAAAAATCCAGACAATGATCCTCACTCGTGTCCTCGGCAGCGAAGCATGCCACTCTGCACGAAGCATACTTGTTCTGATCTTCCTCAGCATGCTTTCTGAATCAGTTACAAGTTATGTAACTGTTCTATGAAATGAGAAACTTCTTGATCACTTTAGTGCTGTCTGACTATTTACTTAGTCTTTTACCAGTTTCCTGAAGCTGGCAATAACATCTCTGTCTTGCCTTTCCGCTGACTGTTGAGTGTCGGCCAGATCCCCTTGTCATTACCATTCTCTTCAGACCGTGATGATGATTTTGTGCTACTGCACTGTTCATTCACTCTCAAAGGAACACATCTTGCTTCAATCAAGCACCAATTAGCATAGAAACAACCAATCTCTCTGCCTGTTCATTTATACAAGTACACAGATTTCTTCAAAAAATGCTTGCCACTTTGCACATTTCCACCTTTCTCAGAATGCATTTTGTTTCAACTTGCACAAATGTTGTATAGTGTCTTATGCTTGTGCCATCCAAGATCTTTTTCTTCTCAGTCTGTAACCCTTAATTTGATCTAGGGCATCATGTACGAGGTGCTTCTTGTCAGCAACCTCTTGAGCCTGTATGCAAAAGTTGGCAGTGCAAGGATTTATTGTATGCATAGGGCAGGGGTATCTTTTGTACATCTCATAATCATTCATATGGCTTTATTTTGTATGCATCAAGTTTCATCAGCAGACTCTTTTGATACAGTGAGTGTTTAGGGGAAAAAATCCATCACCAGTTTGGACTTATTAGTTTCATTTCTAACTCAAAGAATTCAACACAAAACCTCTTACATTTAATTTGAAGCTTTGGTTTTGAAGTAACAACAGCAACAGATTCCCAACTCCATAGAAACATTTTTTAAAACAGAAAACAAGATTTTAAATTAACAAGTCTGAACCAAGAAGTAATAGAATGGTACAATAGAAAGTAGAGATAGCATTCAAACAACTATCACATGTCGTGGAAAATGCTGAAAATGAATGGAGTGAATATAAAACCAATTTGCTTAGTACTGCAAAAGAATTAAGTGGAAAACAGAAGAGTGGAAATGTAGAATTATAACAGATACTCCCCTTAGTGGTGTTTGTTAAGAAGTGAAAGAAGCAGTTAAAAAGTGAAAAAGGCACAACTAAAGGATGCAATTGAAGAGAAAATATTATATAAGCCAAAGACCGCACTGAAAAGAAACCAACTGGTGGATCAAAATAGAAATCACATTCAGAATTTTCATTAGATATAACAAACAAGCAGACGTGTTGACTGGCACCCACAGAAAGAAGTACAGAGATGGAAGAAAACACCAGACAACATAAAAAACAAAAAAGCTATTGTTACCCTGCCTCAAAATGAACCTGTCACCTCTGAATGAGGGCAGCACCTCGCTACAAAAATAAGTGTACTAAGATGCATGACCAACTAGTAGACCCTCCATGTCTATAATACAACTTAAATCCACAACCATGAAAAAAAGACTGAGCTGAAACAGCATCATAGATTACAGAATGTTATATTAAACATGCATAGGTAAAATAATGAACTACAACAATTATAAACATACTGGACCGCAATGCTGTCTTAAATACAATGAACATTAAAGAGAGAGAGATCCACTGTGTTAGGCATAATGCACAGAAATAAACAGATCGGGAGCCCTTGGGGCCGTAGAAACATTATATAAAATAAACAGACAATGTATCGATCAACACACCTAGAGAGAAGCAGAAGGAAAAAATAGATGAAAGCTACCTTAGAGATAATTAAAAAAACAGGAAGGCCATCATCTACTGAAAATAGCAGAGAGATGGAAGGTACACTCTAGTCAGCTCTTTGATCCCCTAGATCACCGGGACAGAACATCTCAAGACTATAAATAAAGCAACAGTGAAAGAACCAGATATACAACTGGTGTAGAAAAAAAGAAAAGGTAATAAAGTGTTGTCCAAATATTAAGCAGCTGGAGCTGATAAACTCTTCTTCTGCCTTCTGAGTCCTTGAGGTTCACTGTTGCAGACATCATCAGTCGCCATTTATCTCAGTGAGGCCTTGTCTTTCCAGCTGGTGACCCCAAGTGCTAGTAAGTCTGCTATGATATTATCCCTTCACTGTCTTCTAAGACTGCCTCATGGTCTATCACCATTCAACTCCTCGTCTACACAGTTTTTGCCTTTCTGTCATTTGATCTTCTCTCTATTTGCCCCAGCCATGTAATTGATTAGACTGCCCCCCCCCCCCCCCCCCCCCCCCATTGGTAACCATCAATTCTGATTTAAACAGGTTATGAATTTCACTGTTCATCATTCTCCAATGTTTGAATCTTTGATGAGTCCACAGATTTGTTGTAAGATGCTGTTTTCAATATTTGTAATAAGGCGTCATCACTGTTAGCTGTGCTCCAGGTTTCAGAGCCATATGAAAAGGCATCAGCATTTTATATATTGTTGTCTTGGTGTTATGAGACAGAGCATCTGATTTCAGGGCATGGTATGTAGGGCACAGTATACTTAATTTCCAAATTGCATTTCTTTTCTTAATATGTTGAAGAAGCTGAAGTTTGTACCCAAGTAGTTGTATGTTTCCATTCATTTATATGATATCACAATGTCTAGTATGAGAATAGAGGTGGAGGCCAATCTCTGGAATAAGAATCAGCTGTACACACATCCTAACTGTAACTGATTTACAGAGAATGTTGAGAAAAGTGGAGACAGGAATGCTTCGCATAGAGTGGCAAGGTCCCGGGTGGTTAGTGTCCTTTGGATATTTTCTTCAGGTATGCTGGTGTGTTGGGAAATGAGCAGGCAGACTGGCTGGTGCTGCAGCACCACTTTATGGTGAACTGATATATGATAAGCTAATGATGTTAGGGCCCTTTGGGAGCAAGAGAAGTTTAAACCAGGTTTTTTTTAAAAGGGTCCTACTTTTTCCCCTTCATATGTTACTATATTTTATATATAAATGTATTCCAAACACAATTAACTACTTTGATGTGTATACCAAGATAAACAGAAATACGACTGAGACCAGTCAATTTAAAGACCTTATCCTCAGACTTTACTGATGATAAAAAGATGAGATATTTAATAATGAACACCTCCAGAATTTATTCAGTAGTGAAACCAGTGTATATGTAATAAATATTTCTATTTCCCTTCATGTTGAACTCTTGCTGTACATATTTAGCTGCCATTTTATCAAAATTAGTTACAATGATCGACAGTAGCTGCTTCCACAAATCCCTTAATTTCATAATAAGTATGTTTACATCTGACTGAAGAAGTCTTCCATGAATACTGCCAATTTAGTAGCCTTTTTGTTGTCTGTTATTTTGCTAGGAGAATTAACAGTGGAAAAAAATAATATACTGCAGAATGGTGTACGGAACATACTAGGATTTGGTTCTTAAGAAGAATATTGAGAATTATGTGGCGTTTATAAACCTGAATTGCAAATTATTCCTCCTAATGACGCATAGTGGCAGAAGTGGTTTATGATGACAGACTAGGAAAAGGCATACAACAGAGCTGACAGACAAGTTTTATAGAAAGTAAATGGCTTGGTAAAACTATTACTAAACTAAAAATCTTCAACTCTAATGTCAAGTCAGTACTGTTGTACAGAGCGAAAACATGGAGAATAATAATAAACTACAAACATTTTCTTTCATTCATTAACTGGTGCCAGCGCAAAATAGAGGGAATTAAATGTTATGATAGAATCACTAATGTAAAACTTTGAGAGAGAACTAAACAAGTTCCAGTGGACCAAAAGGTGAAGAAATGACGCTGGCGTTGGATAGGACACCAGCTGAGAAAACCCGAGAACAAGATAAGTAGAATGTCTTTTGCACTAGAATCCACAGGGGCACAGAAAAAAGGAAGACTAAGAAACACATGGGAAAGGAAGCTAGAAAGCAAAGTTAAAAGGTGTGGAGGACATGGGGAGAGCTGCGTGTAATCATGCAAGAATCAATAATTTATATATTATTGTTTACTTAAACATTAAATGATATTTCTGGAGTGACAGCAAAAAGATCTGCCGATACAGTGTGACAAGAAATCCCATTTATTCTTGGAAATCATGAAATGCACATCTATGGCTTTTCAAACAGATCTCTCCACTGCTCTCTGCCTTGACGCATTAACTGGATTTTTGACTTCAGCCATGAAGGTGTTTCCTTAGGTAGCAAATCTATACATGGGTATTGCTGACGAGAAGCTGGCTTGCTGATGTCCACATGCTTCAGTTTTTCTCTCAGTACTTCTTCTTGGATGTCCTTCACATCTCTGTATTTGTCTAGGTAACTGTTATAAATAAAGGAAACAAGCAAATAAAATATTTTAACATATACTGTTATTATCCCATAACAAACTACTGCTATACAAGACAGCTAGAGTTAGTTGCATAACGATCATAGGATGTTTCGAGCTAACCCCAGCATTTGTTGGCTGTTTCTGTTTTACAAGGCAACTTTAGCTTTAATAGTTTACTGATGCTTCTGAACTGGATTTAAAATGGACACAACAGACTCCATAACCATGGTTCAAGAAATTCTAGACTGGGGACTTAGAACGCTGCCTTTGTCAGCCTGTATTGCTGACACCTCTCTACAAACAGCAGAGAGATCCCAGGTCTGGCTATGTGGCATTCTGGTGGAGGAAACAGGAAATGTGTCGCACCACAACCTTCATAGAGGCCTGTGGCATTCTCATCTGAAAACCAGTGGCGTGGCAGGGAGAACAAAAAGATACACAAGTAAAACTAATGCCATCTTAATAGAACATTTTACAATGATGCTGGTTATGAGTGTGCTGAAAATGCAGTTGAATAGCTGTCTGTCTTCTGACTCAATTTCACATATTTCTGCACTGACAAATCTGTGTGTGTCTGTTATTCCTGATCTCCCTCTTCTTTGAGGCTTTCTCTGTCTTACTGTGTGATCAACTATGACCCTATTTTTTGTAATATATATATATATATATATATATATATATATATATATATATATATATATATATATATATATATATATATATATATATATATATATATATATATATATATATATATATATATATATATATATATATATATATATATATATATATACTGATTTCTTCCTGCTGTTTTATACAAGTTTTATAAAATGTTCATCTGTTAATGTTTCAGTCTAGTACATTTACATTTTTCTGTAACACATTTAGAATGTCTCTTTAAATTTTCATAACATTTATAAAACTGGCCAGATCAGTAAACGAAGCACTACTTTTCACAGATCAAGTTGTATTTTCTTTTAAATTAGTTCATTCTCTTTTCTTAAAAAAAATAAATAAATACTCTTTGCCACTGCTATTATAATATCTGTCACCTCATGCATTTTCTCTTACAGTTAAATAAAGACAAATAACTTAAGTTCTAATTTAATCAGTAATGACTGGGGAGTTCTAAAAATCTACTTGTCTTCTTCAACATTCTGAGCCCTTGAAGTAAACTACTGCAGATATCACCCATCTCCATTCATCTCTGTGACTGACCTATTTTTCCAGTTGGCGACTCCAAGTGTTTATAGGTCTGCATGGATATTATTTCTTCACAATCTTTTTTGGTCTGCCTCATAGTCTAGGGCCAACCAACTACACAGTGTACACAGTTTTAGTCTGTAATCTGCCATTCTTTCTATATACATGCCCAACTTGGTCATGTATCCATGTATACATTTAATGTTTTCTGAATGAAGAGCTCCTGAGAAAAAAATGTGATGTTCTACTTTCTTTATGCCCCTCGTATCAAGTGTGGTTTTTAGTTTCCCTTCCATATCAGGATCAAGACTTAATTAAGCTGCAGTCTCTCAATACAGTGTGCATACTTTTGCTTAATCATAAACTTTTGTGATGTCAACCTAACTATATTTAAAGAAAGTAGTCAATTTAAAGATGTTATCCTCATACTTTACTGGTGATAAAAAGATGATGAGACATTTAAAAAGAATATTGAGAATTTTGTGGACTGAGAGACAAATATGAAAATATTGATAGATACTGGATATATTTCTAATAAAAAACACAAGGAAAAGCAAACCAGCTCATATCAACAGAAGAGGTTGAATAGAGAAATTAGGGTCAAGTAGTAGACAAAAGAAATAGAGGAAGATAGAAAAAGATGAACGTGGAAAGTTTAAAAAAAAAACACATACACACAATAACACTAAGGGCAATAAAATATTAAACGATAGACAGGAGTGAACAACCAGAAAGGACTGAAACGTTCGGATCAATAATGTCTGCTCCAAACCTAAGCATCTGAAGATGGATGTGGTAAAGACATGGTGCTGTTATAATATTGCCGAAGTGACAGAGTCTAGCTTGCTCTGTTCTTAAAAACCATCTTTAGGTTATTAGGAGTGAAATGGAGAAAATAAGGAAATGAAGAGAGAAGAAATTATAGGAACAGGATTGCAGGACCAGGAAAGTCAGACAAACTGAAGCTGTAGGAGTGGGTTGCTGGAATTGTTGCAATGCCAAGCAGAGGGGGCCTTTTCCTGAAAGTCTGATATATGATTTTGATCTTAATCTTTCCAGTCATCTCCTGCCATCCAATGCCCGCAGAATAGTTTGTCTCTTTCATACTATTGCATATCTACTTTCATTTGCTATTTCAGGAAATTTTTCTTTTTTTTTTTACATTCATTTTATAACATACATTATTGCTGTCGCCCTCCTCCTTTTTTTTCCTCATTCGTTCACTCCAAGATTCTTTGTCATGCAGCAAAACAGTGACATATTGCAGAAACCTCTTTCTGTCATTCAAGAAAAATGCTGATCATATAAGATACATTTCATCTTTTTAAATCGAGCTTTGCTTGCCTATCCTCTTGAAAAACTGAAATGATATGATTAAGCACAGTTTAACAACAAAACAACTTGTATATATCACACACTACATACATCTGTAAGGATCACACTGTAAGAACCACGTTTTGCTCATAAACTTACACATTAAAAGGCTCCCTATGCGGAAATTCCAGCTGTTCAGGATGGTAAAATGGTGGATGGATGAACTCAAATGCCGGCTCCTTCATATCTAGAATAAATATGTGTCAAAAATATTTTGTATTATTATAATCTCACCTTACATTATCAAGTGTAAATTCAAAGTGCTAGAGGAAAAATATTAACTCAACTTTTTTTTAAGGACTGCCCTATTTAGCCTATTTCTCAACAAGTGGACTATGTAATCTAACCAGTATTGATTATGGGTTGAATTAGCAGATGATTAAACGTGTGCCTGATATTTTCTGAAATAAGCATGCGAGGAAAGAGAATTTTCACCTTTAACATTAAAAGACTTACAATGTGTCAAAGTTTAATACTTTCAGCACCCTCTTTTCATTTCAGTCTCTTCATAACCTCTGTATTCGACTGTTGCATGAAATATGACCTATTCTTCAGTATATCCAGATTTTCAAGAGACTTGATCTGACTTTCTAATGGCTTGTTTACCGCCCATGGTATCTGCGTAATAAAGCAGGTATTTTATAGGAAGAGATGTGAGCAATTATGAATTGAATGAGGTTCCATATGCAGTGAGGTTAATGTGTTGACTTAGATATAACTTTTCATCATTTTTATTAGTAATGTTTAACTCTCTAGATGTTAATAATTTTTACAGGCTGTTGTTTCTGGCAATTTCTATTTTATTTGCTTTTTCTTCCAACATATGCTATGAAACTTTAGGGGTCTCCGCTCCATAGTTAAGCCATTTGTTGGAATACATTCCATGGACTGCTTCATCCAATGTCCTACCTTCTGTGAACGTTGTTCCAAAATATTTAAACAGATGCCTGTTTCATGTTTTTGTGCTCTAGTGGTATATTAAGGTTTTGCTCCTTTCTTCTTATTGACATTACTTCTGTATTTCCAGTATTTATTCTCATATTGTTGGTTTTACATTATTCATTCATAGATGTTGCAAAATAAGGCTACTCTCTTATACATATGTTGCGTGTTCTTCCTTTGTTATTCAATTTCTTGTTTTTAGATATGGTTAAGGCTTAAGGTAGTCTCTTATACATACCCAAAACATGATGGAAAACAGAAGTGACAGTCTTGTCCCATTCGCTTTGAAAGAATGATAACCCTGCTGGAGTCAGACTGTCCTCATTCTGGCGGTAGAATTCAAAGTTGCTAAATGTACGCTCCCTAAGCGACAGGCTATAAAACAGGATTTGAAAAGAACACATAAGAAAGGATGGAACTGTCTGATCTAGATTGATTAAACTAAGAAACTCAAATTTAATCTTTACAATACAAATATTATACCAAAAACTGTGATAATAAAACTTGGTCAGAAAAGTATTAAATGTAATCTATTAACTATCCATTATCTACAGCATTAACTGCAGACAAAGAACACCCTCTGTATGAGGCTTCGGCTGCAGGTAAGGGTTAGAGGCTGAAAAGGAGACAATCATGGATGGCTTAAGCAGAAGATACAATAAGACAAGCATGCATGCTGAAGACGGCTGTCCTAGATGGTTCCTCTAAAGAAAACACTCCTGGATCAGGCGACGAAGTCACCACACATACGAGGATTTAAATGATCCTCTATGCCATAATATTCACCTATCCAGCATTTTCTCTCTTTGTCTCCCTAATTTTCTTTCAAGACACACTACACTTTTTTCCTCAGGGCATCAGCAGTACACATATGTCATAACTGTATTTGGCTTACAGAGCATGTTGAGAAAGGCAGAGTGGCAAGCATCATTTCAGAGCTCCCAGGCAGTTACCTCCTTTGGATATTTTCTTCAGGTTATGCAAGGGTGTTGGGAAATGAGCAGGCAGATAGACTAGCCGGTTCTGCTCCACTTGGTGAAATGATGTATGACAAACTGATATTGTTAGGGCCCTTTGCGAGTGAGTGAGCAACTTGGAGGCACAAACAGATCGTTACGGCACAACGACGAGTTACTAGGGGATCTGGTCCACGTTCAACACACAAGAGAAAGGCGTGATGGATATGCAATCAGACAGTTACTGGTACCATGGGAGTTGGAATTCTTAGCCTGCTGCTGAAGATGGAGTGCTGAGCACTAAGATTTTTATTCTTAATTCAACACACAACATTCAACATTCCCTACAGCACTGCATCATGTTTTTAAAACCACATCTCTGTGGCTTGCACATATTCACTGTTCCACTAATCTGCCAACTGTACCGATTTAAATTTCAGTGCATCAGGATTGGCTCTGTATAGCTCTTAATAATGTTCTTTCTCACCTCAACGGACAAAAAAAGATTGTACAGAAAAGGGTTATTCAACTAAGTTCACTCAGGGGCAGCAATTTGAAAATGGAAATCATTATGGACCACAGACCTAAGCCCAACATAGAAAAATCATTATTACAATACAACTGGCAACGATCCTTGGGCCGCGAGCTAGGCCTCCATTAATGAGATTTGGCCTGCTAGTTGAATAGCCCTGTCAAAGAATATTCTTCATCCTGTGAAATGTTGTACTTGCCTGAGATATTCTATATATAATGTTTTGAATCTTCCAGCTGCTCTTATAAGGGTACCTTAGTACTTGAATTGCATTGGCTTGCTTCAGTTTTGTCCCATTTACATTCATGCTGCAATTTAGAGGGCATATATGCTGTGTAATTACCGTTACTTCTGTTTCCTGTTGTTCAAACTAATACCTTTGTTCTGACTTTCTGTTTCGCTTATGTCTATTCATTTCTTCTCATTGCATTTCAGCTATCAAAGTGACATCATTTTCATTCTGCAGGTTGTTTACATCATTTTTTCTTAACTATTTTAACAGCCATGACCCACAAAAACAGGAGAAACTGTTTTGCAGCCTACCTGATAGCTAAACAAGGATACAAACACAAATAAATGTAGATAGCGATAAATTTGTTAAACCCAAAAATTTGATTTTCAGTTAATGAATAATTTGCTGTGCTGTTGCTTAGAGGTTAGAAAATCTTAAATACATGGCTGCAGCATTATTTCTGAGAGACTAGGCGCTACAAAAACATCCATTCAAATTCTCTGGCCTTTATTACTGATATGACTAAGGAAGTCTTTTTACACAAATAAAAAGTTTAAGAAAACCCACCAACAATATGATAACTTAGAGATGGATATTCTTTTTCAAGTGTTATCCAAAACTCACAGTGATTGTATTTTATGTATGTACACAACAGTGACACCAGGAAACAACTTGATAAGACTTTTCTTTTCATAATGATCAAGTGCACATGATATTAAATCTTCCAGGAAGGCATAATTAATCCAAAATGTGCCTTTAACAGAATTTTCATTTTTAGGAAAATAATTATCAAAGTTTTCAGCTAATTGTTAAGATATAGTGGAAACATTTCTATATCTTCCTCTTCTTGGCGAATATCCCAGAGAGCCAACTTCTTGAATGCATCTATTTTAAAGTGTAAAAACATGTGCACGTCCCCTGTAGAGAAACATTAAGTTCACAAAGTAGGCTAACTAAATCGACCATATATGCTATCCCTTTCTCATTCAATTTCCAGATTGAAAACCACTACTACTGACCTATGTTCAAACATAACTGACAAAAACAACAGGGGTATCCTGACAGGCAAGGCAACATACATGGCAAAAGTATGCAAAAAATTTTATAAGTACCAAGAGACAGGTTAACAAGACAAGATACAACAGCAAACTCACCAGCCTGCAGGCCTCTGCCACTGATTAAAATCAAGTTCTCTTTCTTGCTTGTAGAGAACAAAGGCATATCTTAAATATCCGACTCCTTTAGGTGGAAATGGCTGAAGATAATCACACACCGTTACCCCTCTTTCAATGTTAGCACCAGGGATGTTGCCTCTAGAGAAACACAGCAAATACCTCCATGACCATTAACATCACTGCAAACATCAGATGACCAATTGTTTCTGCAACACTACTCAATTCCTGATTCAGCTACTATGTCAAACAAGTCAACAGAATATTTCCCTTTTAACTGAATTTGAATATATTCTTAATCGTTCTGTATCAGAAATCTTTTGCATGATGGCATTTCAGTTTTTTTATTCTAATATGTCGTCTGCATTATCCATATAGTTTATTAGTCTTCTTGTGGTTTTTTTTCAGTCAATGACTTTGTTAAACATGCAGTTATCAATACCAAGCCACTTTTCTTCCACGAAACTCAACTTTTCTCAAAGTTTTATTTCACCTTTATATTACATCTTTGTTCAGAAATCCCTAAAAAAGTTAGCTGTGTGTCCTTTACAAGATGATGCAGAACCAACAATAGCATTATTTGGCTGTTTGCTTTAACTAGGCAATTTTTTACATTCAGCAGTTCACTACTGCCATCTGAATGGGCGGCTCTCAATATAATTGTAGTTGAAATCAACAGGAAACAATCTGCTTTGAAATCAACAGGAAACAATCTGCTTCCAAATTACCTGCAGCGGAAACAAACTGGGTTTCTCAGAATTAGATCATTTTAGTCCAGAAACTGAAAACAACCTACTTCATGTCTTTGCTTCTACTATATAAGGCGCACTGGAATTGGTGCCTTCCTCAAAACTAGCTTGCATTCCACTGTGCTAATGTTTATTTGCAATCTATTCATTTTGTACATCCTTGGCCAGAATGGTTTGCAAACTACTGTAAGACTGTAATTAAAACTATGCCACCAGGATATGTGTGTATCTATATGAATGTATTAATATGTATGTAACTAAATGTCTGTAATCTGGTAATTTTAATTTCAGCTTCATAGCAAATGGGTTACCCCATCTTTGCTCCGCTCCTGTGCCAACGAAAAACACACAGAATGTTTATCAGTCCCTTGTGGAAAGACTGACAAACTGCTGTCTCAGCAAATCTATCATACACTCGCATTAAAAGCATATGGTAGCCATCCGAAGTGCTAACACAAACAGTCCAACGTTAGAAATGCAGTTCAACATTGATGGTAGCAGATGTCATTAAAAGATCAGCAGTTGCACATGCGATCAATTTTAATCAAACAATGGCCCCACCAATATTGCGACAACCGACATTGCGCCATTTTCTGAATCTACAAATCACACCACCACGTTGGTCAGTCGAAAAACATTCCAAATGAAATCTGCAGCTCACAGTGTCACGCCATGCACTCAACGCAGAAGCTGGGCAACGAAACTATATACTTGCAGTCTACAAATGGAGCAAAAAAGCAACGGTTACAGTCTGGCAGAAGCAAAAATTTATACCTCGGCTCAAAACAGTGGCAGTGCCTAGAGTTCATTTGGACCTGAAGCATTGTGTGAGGGTTAATAAACTGTCACCCCAGCAGTACCCTACTATTAGCTGGGGAAGGGACTTAGGACATTACATCCACCAGCAAGCCTCGCCCCAACAACAACCTGACTGCCTTCGTTAACGACTGTTCACCAAACAGCCATGCAGTTCTTTGGCACGAAGGAGATACCTTGAACTTGGGTTTCGAACTGCCGACTCCCTACACATATGTGTGCTACTGGTGTCCCGTAGCCAAAATACTATCTCACTGTATTACTAAAATTCAGCACGCATTCTCAAACGCGCAGTAGTTAAATAAAACACACAGGCACACACACACATGACTACATATTTGTATAAGTATATATATATATATATATATATATATATATATATATATATATATATATATATATATATATATATATATATATATATATATATATATATATATATATATATACATATAAAAAATATATATCGGGAGAGGGAGAGAGTGAGACAAGGGAAAAATCATGCCGAATGACCACAAATATGTAAGACACTGACACAGGGAATTCCCTATGCACACAAGGTCGGCATGACTGGCTCCAAGAAGGGGACAGTAAATTCAAATGGCTCAGTCAGATCAGACACAGTCCCTGCTGTGACAGAAAGTTGGCTGAAAAAAGGACTACTGTAGAAAGGTGCATCCGAGGGACGGTTTCAGAAAGAGCTGCATACTTTGTGGTAGGGTAACATTGCTTAAACAATGTAGTCTGCAAGCCACAAGGGGTTGCATTCATATTTTCTAGGTTCTAACAATAGTAATACACTAGCAATGACTAATAATCATTACGAGCCCAGCCAATACATACATAAATCGGCGTAGACAGAAAGAGAGAGATGGAGAGAGAGAGAGAGAGAGAGAGGGGGATCACGTGTAACTAATTACAGCAAAAGTATAGAGTTCATTGAGTCTTCTGTTTCGATATCCAAACGTGCTTGTTGTCAGCCATACAGTTTTTGCATGCATCGATCAAGGCCTGGGAATAGCAAATCAAGTGCTGTGTCTCTACGTTCATTTCTAGGTGGCCACGTGGTCACAGATGGAACTGTTGTAGCAGGGTAGAGCCGTGTGAACTTGAATTCTGCAGGTAAATTGGGTGCTTAGAGTATGTTGTGTTCTCAAGTGTATCTGTTGTAGCCTGATGAGATGTCATCGCGAAGAAAGGTGAAATATTTAAAAGAAGAGAATTCAGAGTGTCTGTAATTATTTCTTCTTCCATTCGTGAACCCGCCTGCGTCAGAACAAATGTTGCCTCATTAAAATGGCATCTAGGTGTCCGAGGGAACGGGGCGTATATTGGTTGATGACCTGGTGTAGTGTAGTTCAATCAGTTTCATGTTCCACGTTTCACTGGTGTAAGATTTATTGTCCTTTCTCTCTCTCACACAGATAGTAGCGGGCAAGTCGCCTTTACAAGCCGTTGGAAATACCGCGCTTTTAATGTTTTACGTAGTATCATTAGAGAATGGGATGGTCCGGATGCCTATAGTTTAGTGTGTGAGTCCAGCTGCTGGCATTTTCCTTTCTCTTCTTTTCCCTAGCATTACTATCTTTCGAAAAAGCTCAGTCCTATCGTAGTCACACATGTTTTGTTTGTATAGTGTGACACTTGGGGGACGTCTCTCAGTTAGCCAGTGTTCTGGGTGGTGATAAATCTCAGGGTCGCGGACAAAACGCCCACTGACCTTTGCGTCCATGATTCATGTGTCTGTATCATCGGCATATTTCCGCTCAAAATAAGTTTGAGAATGCTACAAAAACCACATTTGCATGCAATCATGACATCTAATTGCGTGAAACAATATTTCACTGCAAATCCAATGGAATAACGATCACAACGATGGTAAAAACATCGCTAGTTCACAGACACAATTAGAATAAAAAATCCAAATAGTAAGAGCTAGGAATGTATGTATCTATATTATGTTTGTATCTATATGTATGTATCTTTAGTTACACTCACATTTTTCTCAAAATGCCTAATGTTTCTGAGCACTGTTCATCTTTTTAAATTTCTGCTTCAGGTCCTCAACCAACTCGAACCAAGTTGTTTTATCTTATCCCTTCCTACGCTTACTCTTTGTCCTTCCCATATTATTTATCTTTCCTAGCTATCACGGAATTCTGAAGCTCTTAGCAATGCCTAATATAATAACTGTCTAGAGAGCAAACTCAATAAAAGGTGTCCCCAGAAACAGAATGTGGCAACTAAATTGGTTTTGGTGGGTAGGAATTGACACACATGGTTAACTCAATGGCCATGCACAAATATTTATCCAACTGTGGTACTGCCACATAGGGTAACAATCAAGCAAAAGCAGGACTGGCTCTCACATCCCTGCAGCACCCTGCGTTGCTAGGGAAGGACAGTGTCGCTTATAACTGCGAGGACATACTTCCACCACTAGTAATCATGAAGTGGACCTATGACAGTATATTTAATAAAAGAGAGAACTAGAGAAATGCCTGCGAGCAGAGAAAGTGGATGTTATCTGCATTCAAGAGATGCACCTCAATCCAGGAAACAGATTCAATATTAGGAGATATGAAATATTTCGCCAGGACAGAGAAACTAGACATAAAAGTGGGGTTGCCACGCAGTTTCATAATATAATACCAGCTGTTCAATTACACAGATCCAAACTGCTAAATACTGAATTCATTGCTGTCCAGCTGCATCTAAATAATAAAAAAAATGTCAGTCTACATTTACTCACCACCCACCCTACCTACCGAACTTGAAGCTATAAAGGTTCAAGAGAGCAACCTGCTAATTATCGGAGATTTAAACAGTCATTTGCCGAGCTGGGGTAATGACTGTTTAGACTTCTGCGGAGAAAATCTTGAGGATTGGCTAATCACAAACTGTCTCACCCTTCTCAGTCACTCCAATGACCCACATACTACTACTACTCTAGATGGTGGCGCACAACAAGAGCACACCTGATCTAGCATTTGCAACAGATGACATCTAAAAAACATCTGTTAGGCAGGTGTGTGAACAATTAGGTGGTGGTGATCACAGGCTAGTGAAGATTCTGATAAAGAAAATTTAAATAGAAAAATCTCCAGACACTGCACCAAGTTGGAATTACAAAAAGGCATACAGGAAATTATTTCAAGAACTTGAAGACTCAAACTGCAAAGAAATAAGCCTGTCAGGTAAGTAGATAGAGATGCACAGGAATTCAACAAAGCTATACTGCATACAGGCTTGAAAAAGGAGTAGACAAATGCCTACAAGTGGAACAAGAAGGATTCAGAAAGGGCAGAGGAACAACTGAGCACATCTTCGCCATACGTAACATTTTAGAACAATGCAATAAATGGCAGAGAAGTATATATATTAATAATGTGGACTTTGAGAAAGCTTTTGACAGCGTCCATAGAGACAGTCTATGGAAAATTTTACGACATTATGGAATTCCAGAAAAAATAGTCAACATAATTGCTCTCTTCTGTAAAGACCTTTCCTGCAGTATAAAAAATTACAATACATCTTTCCCAGTAAAGACAGGTGTAAGACAGGGATGTGTTATGTCATCTCTCCCCTTCAATCTGGTGATTGATTGGATACTAAAGAACACAGTAGACAGGACATTAAGAGGCATACGATGGACTCCATTCACCATGCTTGAGGACCTTGATTTTGCAGATGATACAGCACTCCTATCACATAAACATGAACAAATACAAGAGAAAAGTAACAGACTACACTGCACAGCAGAAATGGTGGGACTGAGAAAAAATACAAAGAAAACTAAGATCATGACAAACAGTCCAAACCAACAACCAGTGATCATAAGTAACCAATCACTTGAAATGTAGAACATTTCACATATCTTGGCAGTGTGGTGTCCCTGCTGGGAGGGACAGAAGAAGGCATACAGTCATGTATGAACAAAGCTAGAGCTGCTTTTGGAAGGATGAGGCAAATCTGGAAATCCAACAATTACTGCAGAGGAACAAAACTCCGACTCTACAAGAGCATCATTTTGCCAGTTCTTCTTTATGGAGCGGAATGCTGGAGAATGACCAAAAAGTATGCACACAAGCTGTCCACCTTCCGCCACACATGTCTACGTATAATTATCAAAATTTTCTGGCCAGATACAATCTCAAACACTAAACTACTTCAAGCCACAAACCAAGAAACTTTAGACAGTATGATTACCAACAGAAGATGGAAATGGCTTGGCCACGTTATGAGAATGACTTCTGATATACCTGCCAAAACAGCTCTCACATGGACACCAGAGGGAAAGAGAAAACAGGGGCGCCCAAAAACAACATGGAGACGAACGATGGAAAGTGGCCTGAGTGCGCCATCTCTGACATGGAAAACTGCACTGAAGATTTGCACAGGACAGGAAAGCATGGAAAGTCCTCTCTGAAGCCTCATGTGCCACTAGGCATAACGAGAACTGATACTGCATGCAGCAAAGAAAGCAATTCCTAGAGGAAGGAGACACAATTATAAGCCACTTTGGTCACCAGAACTGGAAGCTCTACACCATTTGCTCTGTGATGTTAGAGACAGCATGGAAGCTGATACAACTGACAAACATGTGAAGCAACACAACAGAGCAAGGGCTCTTTATGTCATATGTCATAGAAAGAAACCTACAGAGTAGAAAGTCCTGGAAAGAAAAGAACATGGAAAAACAAACCATAAAATTGTGGACACTGACAAAAGCACTGAATGATGACATCTCATGGCAAAACAGTTGTCCAACAAGAAGGAATTCTACTCACAGGGAAGGAAGCAGTGACTCTGATGACCTGAAACTATGAGAAAGAAAGCTCACATTCAGTAACCCTGGAGCAAAAGAAAGCTGTCCGAGATGGGATAAACTCCACATTCAAAAACTTGTCTTGTGAGCCATGCATAGAGACAGTCATCACTCTAACCGAGCTACTAAAAGCATTGAGAAAACTCAAGTCTAAGAAAGCAACTGGCCTAGACAAAGTCTCAAACGACATGATCAAATATATGGGTCCAGCAGCACAAAATATTTTATTCCTGATATATAAAAATAGCTGGAAACTAGGAAGAGTTCCAGAAATCTGGAAAAATGCTGTGGTCCACCCTGTCCTCAAAAGTGGCAAGGATAAGAAGGACCCTCAGAGCTACAGGCCTGTAAGATTGCTAAGCTGGTTAGCAAAATTGATGGAGAGAGTGCTGGCCACCAGACTTCAGTGGTTCTTAGAAACCAATCACAAACTGGATCTAGCTCAAATAGGCTACAGAAGCACTGATGACCAGGTAGCATACCTCACACAGGACATAGAAAATGGCTTCCAAGAAAAGAAGAAAACCCTCAGACTTTTTTAAATGTCTAAGACTTTTGACAAAGTATAGAAGTATGGCCTGTTGCTAAAGCTCTTACACAGTGGAATAAGAGGAAGAATGTACTACTGGATACAAAACTTCCTATCCCACAGGCGAGCGTTTGTGAAAGTGTATAAAGTACATAGTCCCAGATTCAAGCTGAGAGCAGAAGCACCACAGGGTAGTGTACTGTCTCCAGTCCTGTTCCTGGTCTACATCAACGACCTACACAAGCGCTACCAGACATGTTCATGCAGATGACCTAGCAGCAAGAAAGCCTGAACAGCGTCATAAACTGGGCCAGTGAATGGGGTCTCGAAGTAAACTGAACAAAACTGTAGCCACACTCTTCTCATTGTCTACAACTCTTGAATTTGCGTCATCGTCATGGATAACAGCAGCCTACTCGAACAAATAGATACTTGACAAAATGCAAAATCAATGTCAGCTTACAATTCTGGGAGCCATAAAATCCACACCTATTGTAGAAATGGAAAAGGCAACCAACATCCACCCCTTAGAAGAAAGAAGAAGGATGAAAGCAATTCTACATGCTGAAAAAAATGAAGCGGATGCCAAACCACCAACTATATGAAAAACTGGCAACCAGGACAGAGAGCCGAATAAAGCGCACAAGCCTAAACCATCAAACTAAAGAATTTGGAAAGTCTCACTCCTTACTACTAAACCAACACTGTGCAGCCAAAGAGCTATTTTTCCAATTTTTGGGACTCAAGATTAATTGACACTCAATGTTTCAACTTCCATCCCTAATTTGGGAAACAAAGATGCTGAGACCACTTAAGTAAAGAAAGCACCCACAGTGGAACACCTCAACAACATATTCCCAGAGGACAGCTGGACGAGAATCTACATAGACGGATCAGCAAAAGAGGCAATTACAAATAGTGGAGCAGGTGTTTACATTAAACACCCAGATGCCACTACTGTGTCCCTGGCAGCCACCACCGAACGAACTTGCTGTAACTACAAGGCCCTACTGATTGCAGCACAGTTATATGAACAAGCCGCAAATCACCGCAAACAAGATGGTTTTTCTCACAGACTCACTGTCAGCTATACAGGCTCTAGTCCAAAACTACTGACAGCACACTACAGAGTCTAACAAAGGAACTTACTAGGTTGTCAAAAAGAGCAGAAACCTGCAGTGGATTCCATCTCACTGTGGCATCAAAGGCAATGAAAGCGCTGATGCTTTATCTAAGAAGTCAGCAGCAAACCTCAAATCTAACAGCCACTATCTTTTCCAGAAGTCAAAACCCTCATTAAGAGAAAATCAGAAACAGATTGGACAACCAATACAGGTTATAACCATGAAAAAGATTTCCTCTCACATCTGAACAAAACAGACCAAGTCACAGTTTTTCGCTTACACACTGGACACTGCAGACTCAATGAATACTCATATAAATTAGGTATGAGCCAGACAGCTCTCTGCCAGTGTCTTCGTGTCGAACAGACTCCAGAACATGTCTTGCAAGACTGTCCTCTCTTGGCAGATCTGCGGAGCAAAATGTGGCCACACCCAGTAGAAGTGACAACTAAGCTTTGGGGAGCCTAAGAAACCTTGAGATGACATTCCAGTGCATGGTCCACAGTGGATTATGCGCATGACCAGAGATCACTGAAGAAGAAAAAGAACGTTAAATAGTAGTGTGTTGCTTAGAGTTGCAGTGACTGATAGTTTCTGTGCACGGTTAGACTGTAGCAGTATTTTTGTGTTACACCCCATCCGACAGAGATAGGATTTGTGTATAGCTTGTTTCTGTAGATTATCATCAGTCTGGTTGCTAAGGTTGGTTTGCACTGGTTATTGTGATTTGATCTGTTCTTGCTCACTTTACCCGGCGCTCAGCAGACGCTCCGTGGTCCCAGTGTTGAGTTCAGTGGCGGGCGTAAGAGCTGTACAGAAACGGCATGGATTTGGATCCAGTACTATCGGATAGGGGTACCCATGAGTTCTGAGGTCAACTGTGTGCTGTTGTATTGTTCTTTCCATTAACAACTGTTGTGTACTCTGTAGGTGTTTAGGCTTAGTGTGTGTAGAACAGATTTATCAGTCACGGGCCTACAAGACGAGTCACGTGCTGGTGCAGCAGACAAAAGGTCCTTGATATTAACATAAAAAAAACAAAAAACTGCAACATATATTCTCAACAGTTACACACCAGCGAAAGAAAAGTGGGGGTACAATAAACTGCTGCATTATACTTATTTTGTAAAAGCCTTACACAAGCCAATGAAGGAGCTCTTTGTTGTGATCTTCAAGGTTACCATCTGGGCTTGTCATAACCAATGTCCACAGATTGTCTTCTGCTGACTCATATGACACAAATGGTTTCACTGCAGTCTAAGAAAATAAATCAAACAAGCATTTTAAACATGTTTTAAAATACAGTATTATTAGGACTAACCTTTAATAGTAATGTACATATAATCACATTCTATATGTACAAATAAAACTGAATCAAATGTATACAGAAAATGGCTTATACTGCTGACAATCTAGTTGGTTTGGCGTCCCCACACTTTTATCAGTTGTGGTATAAAATTGTAGATAAATTGTGCAAAGATACTTATTTAGTGGTCTGTGTTCTAGTCAATCTGCATTCTGACTAACATTCCAGCTGTGCCAGGAATCTGATCTATGCAGCTTCCATTAAGTGTGATATGGACTATAATGTTTATGTTTGGAACAGCTGGCATGAGTATCCATTCAATAAAAAAATTAACATCTCTAAAAGGGCAAACATGTTTGGATGGCATCTTCAGCATAATCCATCAATGATTTGCCTCTAAATCTATTCTTTTTGAGTTTCAATAATTCCTTATGAAGTGGGTGTTGATTGATTCTCTCATCCACTGTGGGGAAATCCAAGAGAAAACTTCACAGATGTGCACAAGATGTCCACATTGCATCCAAGAATAATATTCAATGCTTTATTTACAATTTTTTTCGAATCTGTTCATTTGTGTTGCGCTGAGTGTCATGACGGTCGGTGCATATTAAATGGTGGAGAGAAATAAACCCCTGATGTAACATTACAAGCAGCCATTGCCAGAAGCTTGCAGTCGCCATAATTTTTATTGTGGTGAGACAAATTTTTGGCTTTAGTTATAATACGGTCTACACGTTTTCTAAATGTCAGGCATCCATCAAAGGTTATACCCAGGTATTTCATGGATTCAGATTTGTCCATGTCAGCACCACAGAGTTTTATCATGGCTTCAGTATTTTGAAAATGACTGTTAAGTGAAAATCAAGCAACTGTTGCTTTAGATGGATCAACTGTTACCCTTGAGATATTGTACTAGGATGATATACGATCTAATTTCTGCTGTAGTTCTGAAATTATGTCAGCTGTGTTCCTGCCCTGTTGGCACAAGAGGATTTCATCTGCATCTACAACTAAGTTGTTCTCCTGTTCTTGACTGCAGAAATTGAAGAGTATTGGAGACCAACTATCACATCAGAGCACCCTGCTCCTCTGGAACAGTGCGGCAGATATTCATTAAATAAGGCGTGGGGTGGGAAGTGAGTTAGTTATTTAAGTTAGCTGGATTATCATCATTGCACTCCGGGTATGTTCACAGGTGCATCCTCCCCTTAGTTGAACCCCAGTGTCCAGTGGCTAACATTACCAGTTCTATGTTGATTAACAAGTCCTCTGTTGTGCCGGGTGTGTCTCGAATGTTAATTTCCATTAGTTGATACATTAGTTAGTAGAAGGAAACTATGCATTTTCCATATCTATGGTGACTTCATATGTTTTACCACCAGCTTGAAGAACTTCAAATATGTCATGCGTAAAAAGGCAGCTTTATGACATGTCTCTGTGTTCTGCCTGTATCTTCTGTGTGGGAGGTAGAGACTGGTGTGTTTGAAGCTGGCCTGCTAACCGTCTAGCTACTATCTTTTCCGTTTTTTTGCCTAACGTATCTTGACCCGTAATGATTCTATAGACATTTATGTGTGTGGTATCCATACCAGGTTTTTTTCTAGGGAAATCAAGAAGTTTGTAGCCAGCTTTCGGGGATCGTGCCATTACAGATGCTGTCATTGTAGGCTTTACATAGGTTATCCATGAATGTTGTGGGCAGCTTGTCTATGTGTCCATAGTGAACTTTTAGTCATTTTACAGGTATCAATAAAATTATAAAGTGTTACAATAATTTTTTTGTCTTGTCTAAAAGCCGAAATTGCTGACAAATATCCTCCTAGCAATAGTTAAGAACTCAATCAAATTCTTACACAAAAAAAAAAGCTTATTATCCCAATATGCTAATAACATATGCCGAAACCATTTTCCCTAGTAGAAATGTTATGTCTGCGTGAATGTGTGTGAGCGGCCAACAGCGGTGATGAATCCTGGCTCTGATGACTTTCTGCAAGATGGAGGATGCCTGTTATGTCTGCTTATCTGGTTCTGTGCTGATGAACTGTAAGCATTTAATTCAAGTGTGCCGATCAATTTTGGAAGAGTTCGACCGTGAGAAAGTACTTAAATATAAATGCCCTGTATTATAACAATGAAGCGTGATTACTTAATCTACTTTAAATTACTTGAATAAACAGTTGTACTGGCTGTCTTGAGCTACCAATGTTTTTCCTTTTGGAGCTGAAAGTAATTCATCAATTTAGCTATAAAAGAATGCATGTACTTAGCAAACAAAACAAGTGCACACAAGTGCATACAGCCCTTTTAAAAGTGGATGCAGAGACAAAACTGAAAGTAATCTAGATAGTTTTATGTGCACTGCTATCTATCAAGCATGTGTGTTCTAAATTTGAACTTAATTGCTTATCAGGAAAAGTGAAAAAACATAATACAACATTTTGACCCCCCCCCCCCCCCCCCCCCCCCCCCCCACACAAGTGAACTTAAAAAAAGATTTTTAAAAATGTTTGAAAATTTAAAAATACAAACATGTAATATAATCTACAAGCCTCTCTAAAAGGACAGTACAGGTCTTGGTACAGTAGAAGAAAAAAGCCAAGAGTTGAGTTGAGTCAGGAATCACAGCACTCGGGGTATTCCCATGTGCGCTCCATCCTCATCTTCAGCAGCCAGCAGAGTTCCAACACTAAAGGTACAGGCTGTAATCTGGTTATAATTCCAACTCGCCTTTCCTCTGAGTATAGTGAGCTGGCCAGACTCTCTGGTTACACCCAAGTTCAGAAAGGCCAAGAAAAAACTGAATAAAAAATGTAGCAGACTCAGCGGGCCTAAAAAATGTAAACAAGTCCAGTATATATGTAAGAAAGAACTGAAGCGATCTAACGGCGCTCAACTGAAACTAGTGTTATGAGATATGATAATGATAGTTACAGAATTAATATTAATTGGTACATACCTCTGCTGCAGGTATAACATTACCATAGTAAACTGGTGTAATAAACTCCTCATCATAATCAAATGATACACTTAGTGGTACAATTGGATGAAAGTGTGCTCCATCAAATAGGTCGCTGAATAAGCCGTAATGTGTGGCCATTTTTTTAACATGTAGTGGCATAGATTCAGCCATCCAGTCCTTTTTCATCAAGTCCAGATCAATTTTCACTGGTGAAGAGACATGACAAACTTGTTTTAAAGATTTTTTAATTCAAAAAAATAAACCTAATTTTTTGTTTAAACAGACAGTATTACAGAGCAGTAAACTGCTGTTAGTACCCTTCCATTTTTCCAGAACTGGTGTTAAAGAAAGGCAAAGAAATCACAGCCCGTGGCATAGTGAGTGTGACTAGCAAGATCTGCTCAGTTTATGAAGTCTTTCCCAATTAGAGCACAAGATCTGAAGACCAATGTTGCCATCACAGGCATTTAATGAGTTTGTTCTAAAATGCTCTGATTTTAAACTATATGCAATAAGGGTCATTTACTTTACTAATGTAATACTTGGACACTGACAAAAGAATACAAAAGAAAACTAACGACCTATGAGATGAGATGTTTGAGAATGCCTGTGAATAAAACCAGAAGAGATCGAGTGAGAAATGACAAGATCATAAAAACTTGTCAGATTTTTTGAAAAACAAAGAATGAAATGGTTTGGCCATCTAATGAGAATGAAACCAACGATGCCAGCAGCAAAAAGGGCGCACTCAGGTGTAAGTCCTCCAAATAACAATTTTTTTTAAAACTGTCCTAATAATACCATTTAAACGACCACTGATAAAAAGACACAATTATATGTTGTGTGTTCTTAAGTCAGCAAACCAGACTATCTCTACGTCTGTGCAGACAATGATTGCGACATTAACTATATTAGACAAGTGAGATTTCTATTGTCTTTCTTTTCCAAGAAACTTCGATGAGGGAGAGAGTAGTAGGTGGATTTGGGGAGGGGGCATTGAAGACCATCTCTATATCTGCGCAGGCAATGATTGCGACAGTAACCATATTAGACACGTGCGATTTCTATTTTCTTTTTTTCCCCATTTAGCCAAACTATGCCGCAGCAACACGTAGCCGGGTACAGCTAGTATACACATAAAAACACGCATTCAGACACACCTACAGACACACAAACTCACAGATACATGCCCACACAGAGACATACACACACATACATGCACACAGACACATACACAAACTTATGAAATTACCTTTACATACACAGAATCACACGCATACAAACACGCCTACACATGCATACATGTCACACCACAAACACGCATACATACATATCATACACACTTTATTTAACTATAAACTAGTAATGCAATATGGATTATTAACTGTACTTAAGGTGGCATATAATCACTGGTAATCATGAAATGAATGAGTTTGCGGTTAAAAGAGTACAGACTGTAGTTTTCAGATCCAAGTGGAAGATAGTTCCATAAATGATCAGCAAAATATGCTAAACTTGTTTTCAATATTTTAATTCTAGGTTTAGGCAAATATAATAAATTTAGTCACTTGCTGGCTTGCCGTTTGAAGGATTAGACTGAAAAATTAAATGTTTACTAAATGGCAGAAGTCTTAGATGTCGGTATAAGAGATTTTTCCCGACGTAGTTTCTATCAGAGACTAGACGTAAGGCCCTAGAGAACTCAGCCATTTGAAATTAGATTTGGAACAGCTATCCCAAATTGTGAAAAAATAGTCAATATGAGTTAGGATGCAGGATACGTAAAATATTTTATGTGTATTTTCATCCATAAAGTGCTGAACTTTTTCAAGTTGATAAACTTGTGCTTCTTTTTTGGTCATGGCCTGAACATGGGAACTCCAAGTTAAATAACTGTCAATGAAAATACCTAAAGTTTTGTGTTCAACTACATTAACAATAGGTAGCATGTCAATTGTCACATTCCGCTCGTGTCGCATGCCTGATTTAAGGATTTTTCCTTAAGAACCAACAGCGCTCTGAAATAGAATAATGTTGAGGTGTCAGCTCGTATTGGTCTAAAGGGTATCCTGTGGCCAATATACACCCAACCTATTTCAGGAGCAGGGCAACTCAAGCTATGGCACTACAGAATATATAATATTCCTAGGCGCAACTTGGCTAGACGTCCCACTACTAAAAGAAAATAGCCCCCAGGCTATGATAGTATACAATCATAGCCATGTTAACACAGATTAGGATTAATAATTAAACATACATGTACTTTAGACAACTAAGAACAGTGAATGGATGACATTCAAGTCAAGAATGAAAACTTCCAAAGACATGTATATGTAATAAGTTCAAAATCAACATGATATATGACTCAAGCAAGAATTTTGAAGAACATTGGAATATGGAAAGATTAAAACTGGAATCCCATTGACAGACACTGACGAATCTCGTAGAGGCAGCCTGATTTCATCATGGTGATTTGGAGTGGACCTGTAAATATAGAACAAGTCGTCACCATTGAGTGTAGCTACTTATCTGGTCCAGGTTTTAGTCACTGAACTCATCAGTTCATGATACTGGAACAGGCTGACACTTGAGACTGTTCAGTTCAATGGTTGATCTGATTCAATTACTGGAGCCAAACAGGTTCCTGAAGAGGGTGCTCTGGACCAAGGTTGGTCCTGATGGGCTGGAACAACTGATTTTCAGCCACTGTAGCCCAACAAGCTCCTGAGGAAGGTACTCTGGTATGAATGACAAATGGGTGGCTTGTAAGCAACTGCCTACACTCTGGCTCCCACATTGCCATGGTGATGGTTTTGTAGTGGGCAATTTGGTAGTTGGTGCTTTTCAGGACTGCTGATTTACTGCCTGGCCTCCAAGGAGATATCATCCCAAGCTTAGGAAGCACAAGGCGAAATACGTCTGGTCTCCCTGGAAGTCGGCAGTGAATGAGGGAGGGAAGGTTTAGCGTCCTTTCGGAGAAAGAAGTTACTGTATCAATACGCCGAGGAGTGAATCGGCTTCTCAGAAAAAGAATTATTAATACAGAGAATCTCTACCCCCACAACTGCAAATTTGAAAATGTATTACACCAGATAAAGGTATAAATAGATATAAGGGACTATATACCCACCGGACGGGTCTATATTTGAAATGTGACCTGCCCGCTAGGGGCTTTAAAGTCACGAATAGTTGAATATGTAGGGGTGGGCCTGATCACTTCACGACACAATGAATAGCCCAATTTTCGGCTTGTGTAAAGCTAATGTTTGTAGCTTTTGCCTAGTTGTTATCACCATGGTTTTAATTTATGTTAATTTGCATGCGATTATCATTACTCCATTTTATAAGTTTACCTATTTGTTTCTGTAAAGAACGTACTTATTCACTACAATTTTCATGACTAGTATATATATCAAAGAAGAAGATAATTCCACATTGTGATATCTCAGTTGAAGGAAAAGGACTTAACAAAGTCAATAAATTTAAATATCTGGGAACAATTATATCATCAATGGAAAATGTGTGACAGAGATTAAAAGCAGAATAGGTCAAGCGAAAGTTGCATTTCAGAAAATGAAAAATATATTATATTATTATGAAAAATATATTATGCAATAAATTGCTCTCATTTAATGTCAGAAAGAGGGTGCTAACCTGTTACATAGAATCTGTTCTGCTGTAATAGCTTCAAATCTTGGAATGTCACTGAACAAATTAAGAAGAATTTGGAAGCAACAGAGATGTGGTTTCTGAGACCAATATTACGAATACCTTGGATAGCCAGAGTAACTAACAACGATTGGTTGAAAAAGGCTAATGAAAGACAAACACTGTTCTTTGGCCACATAATGAGAAGACAGACATTGGAGAACATCGTGACAAATGGAAAGATCAGTGGAAAAGGGGGTAGAGGCAGACCAAGAAAGATGATGCTGGATGGGCTAAAATGATGGCATGGAGGGATATCAACAAGAGAGCTATTCAACCAGAGATCGTTATTTGTGGAGATGCATGAGCGCCTACGCCAGTTGGCAGGGCACATGATGATGATGATGGCGGTCGTCAGCAAACAGATCACGTTATACTGAGATGTAATGAAAGGTCATTAATATAAGTGGCAAACAGCAGTGGACCCAATTTTGAGCCCTGAGGAACACCTATAATTAACTGTGTGGGTTTTCAATTAAGGTTAGTGAGGGAAACTACCTGCAGTCTATTAGACAAAAACAAAGTTGATTAATGTCACTAAATTATCGTTTTTTTTTAAGGTTTTTAGTTTAATAAATGAAATATTGTGATCAACTATGTCAAAGGCTTTCCTATAGTCAACAAATACTGCACTGCGAATGTTGCCACTGTTGATGTTAAGGTGCCAATAGTCTGTCATTTCTGTCAACGATGACAAGAGTGTTTCGGCCTGAACCCTGAGTGGCTATTAACTATTAGACTTATTTAAATGCTGAAAAATTTTATGTATGTGTTTCTCTAATGTTTTAGATAGTGAGGATAGTAGAGAAATGGGTCTACAATTGCCTAGAGAATTGTGTCAGCTGAACCAGCTTTTGAAAATACTGATGGAAAGTAGTTCTTGGCAAGGCACTAATTATACATGAACGTTAAGGAATCACTAACAACTCGTGCAGCACATTGAAAAATTTGATTACTGATTCCATTAAAGCCAGAGGAGTTTGTTTGCTTGAGGTTGGAGAGATATTTATACACTTCAGAAACATATAAGGGGAATCTCAGAGGGAATAGTCGTAGTGCACTTTTCCTCACAGAATGATGCTAGCAAGCTAAAGTCACACTGTGAGTCAGGTATTGTGGACTTTAAATTCTCTATTTCTGATTTAAAGAAAGAACTGAAATCATCACATGTTAGAGAATTCGGTTTTGATTGATTCGAAGAATGCTTATTAGTTAGGGTGTTAATAACCTTCCATACAGCCAACTTCAAATAGGAGCCTATGGGATGAAATGACCTAAGTGTTTTCAGAAGCATATATTTTTAGACAAATTTTGTGGCTTTCCGACTGCTGCACAAAAACTAAATCTTAGTTTCATAAACGATCTTGTATTTGCATACGTAATACAATGTTAAATAAGTGTACAAAGTTTCATTATAATCAGACCAGCAGTTTTTGAGAAAAATATATCGTAAGCCAAAAAAACTGCCAAAATAAAAAAAACGGAGGAAAAAGAAAATTTTGCATGTTTTAACATGTTATTTCACATAGAAAAAACAGTTTCTGACATTACATGATCATTAGAACAATCCTGCTGCATATGCAAGACTTCCTTCTAGGGCATGTAGTTCATCTTGCCTCTTTAGTTTGGCAGCTTGTACACTGTTGCCCCTCTTAGTTTGCTTGTCCTTCTTATACTTCAAGCTATTTCTAACTCTCTTCTGCATACTAGATGCTCCTAGTCTCTTCATATGCAGGCCTGTAGAAAATCCAAAAATCTGGGCAGTGTCTTGAAAAGCAACAGCCGCAAAGTTAATCTCTCTTGCCGCAGTTACTACTGCAAACTAAACACGCTTGTGTGAGGCTAACTTGTCTTTAGTACAGCGAGCCCAGATCAGGCTGTGTAAACACTCATTTGAATTCTGAGTTTTTCCTGAAACACATCTACTAAGTATTAAGTAGTTTAGGGTCAGACAGCCTTTCATAAATTGGCGAAAGATACTTCTGTAGCTTGTCACAGTTGAGTCATGTGTGTAACATCTTGTCATGAGGACCTGGTAACTGGTGCTTAGCCAGTTTTGGCATCACCATCAGAAAGTATTGATGTCTTACAAAGCTTATGATGGGCCACAGACCGTTGCTAAAGCACTCGTCCATCATTCCAGCAGATCCTGTGAAATTATTATCACAGTTTAGAAAATGGTCTGCCTTCCATGCTTCAAATTCAGCTGTTTTAGATTTGGAAACTCTCTTACCAATGGTTTCACACACCTGACAATATGTGGACATAACATGCACATCTATGCAAAGTCCAGTAAGTACATTCACTGCAGAGCCAACCCAAATAATGTAGGATGTGTGGCCTCTCATCAGCCAAGTGCCACCAAAGCTGACATTAATATCCAGCATATCACTGTCATGTAGAGTGATGCCTGACTGCTGTGCATGGACTTGCCGAACATACTTCACGGTTTGAAAGAAAACCATATCCTCCAGATCTTCTAACTCTGAATATAATTTACTTGCTTTCTTGTAAAAAGTTTTGGGATGAAGACCTTCCAGGTTTGTATGTTCACAAAAATTACTGAACGTGGCACCCATTTCACAAACTAATGCAGAAGAAACAAACTGGCTGTTGATGGCAAAAGATCTATCCCCATAATTACTTCTTGTAGCTAGGTACCTTCCAGTAACTACTTCTTCACAAGAAGATCATGAAACTTCTGCATGCACAGCTAATCCCTGAGTTTTCTTGCTGTCAGTTTTCAAAATAAGACCACTATTTTTACATAGTTGACAACACAACGTATCAATGATTTTGTCAGTATCACAAAAGTCAACTACTACTCTTGTTCTCAAGTTTTTTTTATGTCCACAATTCTCAACAGAAACATACATGCTGCTAGAGGATGTCATATATTCATTCATATCTCTCTGAAACTGGCTTCGGGTTTTTTCTTGAAGAACAGTGTTACTTCCAAAACTTTGAGAACTATAACAAGAACACGATGGTACAGAAACATTGGTAGCAAAAATCCCAGTGACGCTAAAAACATCGGCCAGCATGTCAGATGCGTCGCATTCTGAATTTTCTGTAATGCTACAACGCTCTGGTAGACTTTTCTTTGCTTACGAGCATTTGCCAATTGTAGACTTCGAGATTTCTTAAGTTGATCGGCTAAGTGGAGTTTAAATTTCTTAGACCGAGGCATTTTTCGATTCACAGCTGTCATGCCATTTCTGGGTAGACAATCAACCGCAGCTGCCATCTTTGAGAATCAGACACCCAGGTGATCAGTTTCAGCCAGCGGGAATTGCTTGTTCTGACTGAGATCGTGTTTACACCCATATATGGAAGTTTCCGGACACTTATAGGGGTCAATGAATCGGCGGTCAATGGAAAACGTAAAATTCCACAATCGCGATTCCCGCCAAAAAGTGTAGGGGATATAATTCCGGTTTTAACGATATATATAATACATACAGCTATCTCCTTGTGCATATAGCGTTGCCAAGGGCGAATCATCTCTTATTTCACAACAAATTTCAATAAACAAATAATTTCACAGCTAGGGTTAGCTCAGTAAAATATTAATATTGCATTAAATTTACATATTTTATGATGTGATTTCTTAATACTCCAATCTTCTTTATGTGGCTGTGAAGCTCCACTTTGGGGGTAAAAAGAAAAGATCCATTGCCCGCCTAACAGGATGTTGTAAATCGTGACTTATTAGGAGTGTTACATTCAAAGTTGGAGTGCATCTTCCGGAGAGTCAATGAATCAATAGTCTGCATATAAATAAGCCTGATCTGTAAAACCAAAATGAATGTGCATGCAAAAACAAAAGTTCTGGAACAAGATCAAAGTCCAGAAATGGATGAACAATCAGAAATTTCGGCCAGTTTACAGCCGATGAATACTAAGAAGAATAAGAAGATACTCTAATTTGGAATCTTTATTGTTACTCTTTGAAAATGTGTATCGAATAGCGGCACAGTAAGCATAAATAATATTTCACTAATTTCAATTTTTTTCTGTAAATATTATTTTCAAAATGCACTGAAACATCTATAATCAACTTTGAATTATTTCTCATAGACAAATATCACTGAACAGCACTGATAAACAAAAACATTTAATTAACTTTTCCCCTGAAATCTGCCACTTTACACTTACAAGTTTTGTGACGTGCAGCTTGTTCTAACTGCTTCCGTTTCACAGTCCATTTCTTCAACATATCCAGTTTCTGAGAACGACTTTCACTGTGATTGTTGTAAAAGCCTATATTTATTCCTTGGCTTGCTGGAGCAACATATCTGGCATTCCATTCTGGGGAGGAATAAAATCACTATGATAAACAAACAATAGAAAATGTTAAAATTCTCTAATACTAACTTAGATAAAAGCATTTTTTCCCGACTTTAATCCACCATTAAAGATCATTTCCATTTATTTACATCTGGATAACCAACAGGTATTATATGTTCTGAAAAAAAGATTAGACATATATATATATACTAGCTGTACCCGGCCACGCGTTGCTGTGGCATAGTTTGGCTAAATGGAAATGAAAGAAAATAGAAATCGCACGTGTGTAATACAATCACTGTCTGCTCAGATATAGAGATAGTCTTTGATCCCCCCCCCCCCCCTCCACAACTAAATCCACCTACTACTCTCTCCCTCATCAAAGGTTTTTGGAAAAGAAAGACAATGGAAATTGCACGTGTCTAATATAGTTATTGTCGCAATTATTCTCTGCACAGATATAGAGATAGTCTGGTTTTCCAACTTTAGAACATGCACCATATAATTGTGTCTTTATATTAGTGGTCGTTTAAATGGTGCTATTACGCACAGTAAAAAAAAATGGTTATTTGGTTATCACATGCTAAAGCTGTTTGTATTTTTATAGGAGACGGAAGTAAAGCTACAACTGTACTTGTAAATAACAAAGTAAGTTGTAAAAAAATAGAATAGCGGAGGTAGCGTAAGTAAAATATAAACAAATTAAGTGATGAGAACTTGAAAATCACGTGTAAAGCTCTTTGTGTTCTCTTAAATTTCAGTCATTACCCCCTCCCCTCCCCTCTTTCACCGACTACTGCTCTCTCCCTCTTCGAAGGATTTGAAAATAATCACCTGGCAATATTCTGTTGTTATAATTGATCATCCTTCAAGTACCAGTACAACTACTACCACCACCACAGTAGCTAAAATAATGTCACTGCTATCTGTTTTACCATCAGAGTAGACAGGGAGTCGTGAACCAGAAGATTTAGTGCCGCATGGCTAGTGCCACGGACTGGTCAGGTTAGGATGTATAATTTCGCTTCCCGACAGAAGAACGCCATAACCTTACCAGCGGTCTTCACATGAGAGCACTACGGTGTAACAGCTTAACCACAATTACTACTGCTGCTGCTACTTTGAGTGGGTAAAGCAGTTACTGTGACTTAAAGCTCTCTCAGTAAACAGTTTGCCCACCGCCCCCCCCCCCCCCCAAAAAAAAAATTCACTGACTACTCTTTCCCTCATTGAAGTAGTTGGGAGAAAAAAACAAATGAAAACAGAAACAATACACCAAAATTAGGAAATGAGCGCTATGGTAAACAGCACAGCTTAAAATTCTAACGCAGATGAAATAATTTAATCTAAATGAAAAGCTATGAAATTTCAGCGTAACCATGCAATCGGAAAGTTTAAAAATGAAATCATAAGTATGCAAAATGGTAACATTTAATTATCAACTGGTTTACCCACATAGTTGTCTTTTTTTTAAAGTATTATGGGCCACATGGCTAGTGCTGTCGCCACGACGGTGCAGGTGAGAATTTTATTTTAGCACAGGTAAAAAAAAAAAAAAATACTGCGGATTCGAACCCTGGTCTCCCGCACAGGAGCCCAGTGTTCTAACCATTCGACCAAGCAGCCACTTCAAGAATCAGCGAAAAAAGAACAAAAATATTTTAGATGTGTGTCCCTACTACAATGTCCCGATTATAATACAACTCAAAACAGCAGGCAATTGTTTTCTCATTGACAGATATTCCAGATATTTTATTGAAACGGCACAACAATAGAAATCGCACGTGTCTAACATGGTTAATGTCCCAGTCAATGTCTGCGCCGACGTCGAGATAGTCCCTGATTCCCCTCCTTCCCCTTTCCCTTCCAATCCATTGGCTACTTTCCAACTCATTGAAGGTTGTTTGAAAGAAAACAGAAAATAAAAATCGTGTTTAGTATGGTTATTGTGGCAATCATTGCCTACACAAATATAGAGATAGTCTTGTTTGCTGTACCACGACCTACTCTATGCATTAGAGAAGGCCTTGGCTGTACGTATCTCGCCGACGAATGGTGGAAGTCTTGCGTTCTGACTACGGCGGCGCATGCGCATTTACTAACGTGGATTTAATTAACTGCCACTAAAAATGAAATATTAGTTTCGAAGTTTTTCCAAAAATTGTCGCACACTATCTCTAACAATGACAGGTTGAATTTCAAACCATGATGGGTGAACATCCGGTATCAAAACAAACATATCCTGAAAATTTCAGCTAAATCGGTTCAATAGTTTCCAAGTCTATAGGCTATAAACAAACACACAAACATTGATTTTTATATATATAGATATATGAGGGAAAGGCAAATGTAATTTCTTTAGCAACATCATGAGAAGAGTAAAATTAGAACACACGACAGACAATCTTTGGCTACTTGTATTTTGAAACTTTGTATCACAAGTTACAGCCATTCATTATTAATGTTAAGGTATATGCTCAATAATAATTAGCCTGTTGATATTTTCACTTCCGCTTCCAGTATGGCAGCGCTAGATAATAATCATGGCCAGAAGCTCACGTATTCTATCCGTTTTCATCGCTTAAAACAAACCATTTACCAGTTCAAACACATGAGGGCAACGTTTGCCACCGGGAAGTTGATGTGTTTGTTAGATACTGTGCAATTATTACATGTTTGATGTTTTTATGACCCCGCCCACGTCATAGTTCTTAGCACCCTTAGCAACAAGGATGAACTATAAGCGAATATGGCCACGAATATTCTTCACTGGTAAGGTCACGGGCAGTGAAAATACTTTGGGTCTTTTCTCCAGGCTATGCGGGCGTGGTGTAGAAATGATCAGGCAAACAGACTGGCTGGATCTGCAATACTGGGTGGTGAATGATGCATGACAAGGCAGATTAGATGTCAAGGCCCTTTGGGAACAAGTAATGAAGTCAGAATAGAAACAATATTATTATGGCCTGGTGAGAACGATCAACCTGGGTGTAACCAGAGGGTCTGGATGGCTCACTACACTCTGAGGAAAGGCAAGACGGACATATAACCAGATTACAACTGGTACCATTAGTACTGGAACTCTGCGCTGGCTGCTGAAGATAAAGACGGAGAATACATCGAGTGCTGTAATGTCTCAACCTTACCCATGATTCTTTTGCATCAAAATACACAAGGGTCAGAGTAATCCAGGGCCACAGAGCTGATCTCTTACGCAGTGGAGCACACTAGCTGTTCTCCCTTGAGCACTCGGCACAGCCCAATGAGTAGCTGTATCTACAGGGTAAGACATGCACACTTAGGTCGAATGTCTTTTCATAAAGAAACCCCTGCTACAGTCAAGACCGCTGTGAGTGACTGAAGAGGCACAAACAATGGATCTAGAGGAGACAACCTCGATTAAAAAACTGAAGCCTGCAGTAGCCCTACGTGCCTATTGACTGAATGACTATAGTCTACAGTCATGAACGTGGAACTTCTGGTTAGTGGGTGTGGTGGCGTTAGGGGTATGGACTCTGTCAAGACATCCCCTGCCTCTTCCCTAGCTAGGGGGACTGTTTACTTCCTGCATTGTAAAAATATTTTCTATGAATTTTGTACTTAATTTTAAAAAATAATCACCGGAGATAAGGGGTGCATGCTGTGTGCTTGATACCATCTTCAGGTGGCAGTAGAGAGTGTGGAAAGAGGAAAAGACGAGGAAAAGGAGAGAGAAAAAGGCACAGAAATAAGAGTCAGGTGAAAAATGGAGCGTCTGGGATTAAAGCATGTTAAAGTGGGTTACTGCAATTGTTGTAGTGCTGAGCAGAGAGGACTTGTACTGGAGAGACTGACTTGTGATGTGACTTTGATATCATAATGCTTCAGGAATAAAACACGGAGAGATACGAGTCCTAGATACATTGTTACATAAATACTAGTGGATAGGGAAGGCGTGGGCAATTGCTGGTGTAGCATGGGGTGAAGCATGTCTTGATTTATAAACCTAGCAAGATCAGGGCTGAGAGAACGTGCAATACTTTAAAGCATGAGAATGTCAATACTCTTCCTGTACACCTTCGACAGAAGGTATGCAGCAGAACCACCACCTCTGCTTTTGTGCAGCCTTTATTGTGGACCCACAAAGTAGAACAGGCATGGGGAGCAAAGCGAGCAGTAGTTAACCTTGTCGCTGCTATGGACATAAGTATACGTCTGCCCCGTGAACTGCTAAAGATGTATTAATATGTATTACGTTTTCTGTGCCCTCACTGCTAGGACGTATTGATACGCCTCTAACTTTCCTTACAGATTGCTAAGAACCGTAATTCTCGTGCGTGGAATGGCAACACACATTACCTAAAACTATCAAATTTACCCATTTCCATACAATTAAAACTCTTATCATGTGCGTTTAGGTGTGTATTCAGATGCGTTCCACATTATCCTGTAGCTTTGTTTACCATAAAAGCACAGTCGGTGAACAGTATATTTTTTGTCCTGAAATATATTTATGGTTTTGTGTTAGTCTACTTTTTTTTTCTTAAAATTTTGTACAGCAAGAAAATAGGTTCATAAATTTGATGAAGAAATAATGGAGTTTTTTGTTTTTTTTTAAAGAGAAATAGTGAGGATCACTTTGAAATGTGTGAGTCATGAGTTGGGTTTTTATCAGGGCACGCCGGCGGACATGTGTATTTCTGGTCGTCAGCAAGACTGACCATCTGACTCAGCCATCTACATTGACTGGATAGAAATGGTTCCTGATTGATAGTAAAGAAGATATTGTCACCAACTAACATGATGATTAAAATTAATGGGTTTTTTGGAGGTATACTATTAGTATACAACAAACATGAATGTGTCTGTCTATCAAAGTGTACAATACAGGTCCTATTTTCATATGAATACCTAGTGTAGTTGATATCATGTCTGCCTCACAACTAAAAGGTCGCGCGTTCAACCTCTATATGACTTTTTTTTTGGCAAATGTACATTTTTATTTCAGCTTTTAGCAGTTTCAGCAGCTCATCCCCAAATTAATAATTAAAAAAAAAAAATTATAATAATAACATGGAGAATACAAATAATTATAACTAAAGCGGTAGATTGATGGATCAGACTGGGAAAGGGGAGAGGGAGGGATATGCATTAGTGCAAATTGTAATTTACGAGTCATGGCCTGGGGTGAAGTGCTAGGATTCTCCTTGACCAGTTCTGTGAACACACCCCCTCCCCCCCCCCCCCCCCCCCCCCCCAGTAGGTGTGAGGGAGCTGTAGATTTTGTTTGTGGGGTGGTAAAACTGGCCAGAGAATGTAAGAGCCTCAGATGCACTCAAACTCAAGGCAATGACTAAACACACAGCAACGGTTGAGATGACGATGAAGTAGAAGCAGGAAGAATACAAACTGTCATCCAATATCTACCTGCAAGAAACGTAAAACATTCAAAGAATGTTTCTACCGACAATCGGAAGACTATTTATTGTGTTCCTTCTACCGCGGAGTTTCTACTGCACATGTGGTAGCGGTGAAGACAACAAAGATAGCCGAGGATACATTTTCTTTCACTATCCCGAGTGAAGCCTGGCAAATAAGTCTAGTTTGTAGTGTTTCCTTTCTGTAAATGTGTTTCTTGGCGTCACCATAGTGCGTCTGATTTGTCAGCACTGGGGCCATCATCCAATTACCTAGGATAAATATTTACATGTGTACAAAATAGAGCCCCCACCGCCAACCCATTTTTTGCTTTTAAAGGATAGAAAAATATTCAGCAAAGGGGGAAAGTTCAGCATGGAACTTGCTTAGCACAGTGGTAACGTTCGGTTTTGGAGTACGTAGCAGCGAAAAGGTTAAACAATTTCAGAAAGTGCAAAAGTCATGTTACATGTTACAAGAGGGTGTAGATAACCTAGAAAGAGTTAGAAAATAAAAAGTAGAAGAGTACAAGCGGTGTGCAGAAGATGCAAAAAAGACTAAATGGGAACATCATCATGTGTGTTAAAAATGACTGAATGAAAACAGGGCTATCCTCCGAATAACGGGTACAAAAGATGGCGGCCGCAAAATATCCTTACGAGCCTCAGTCACGTGTCAATTGCGCACTTCCGCCGACTTAATTTGCGGTTTTCCGGCGACTATCGCCACCGCCGTGAGTGAGTCCTCCGCGCCCCGTAGATTGGGGCTAAACTAGATGGCTAGGACTCACGAGCAAAGCTGGAGGAGATGCGGAAGCTGCTGCTTCGTGAATCCTAGCCATCTAGTTTAGCCCCAATCCACACCGCGTGAGCCGGAAAAACGCAAATTAAGTCGCCGGAAGTGTGCAATTGACTTGTGACTGAGGCTCGTAAGGATATTTTGCGGTCTGCCGTCTTTTGTGCCCGTTATTCAGAGGATAGCTGAAAACAGTTATATAGAGGAGACAGTGAGACACAACTGAGAGCTGTGGATAGATATGATTACTACCGTAACACAGCATGTACCATATCTTCTTTGGTTGTAAATTCTAGCAGAACATTATTGTTGCTCATCAACTTCTGGACTCTGGCCTTTTCTTAAACTTGAGGCTGAATGCACATGCCAAAGTTTTTTTACATATCTAGTTTGTCTATATGCAGACTGTTGGTTCCTAGCTTCTCAGGCAGATAGATGCACTCCGACTTTAAAGGAACACCTCTAATTAGTTGCCTATAATGACCAACAACATGCTTGTTGAGGGTAAGAGACTGACAACGATGATATTGATACAAGTAGGAGGACACAACATCAAGAGACGGAGAAACAGTAGTCTGAGACAGTGAACAACCAAGACAAGAGATAGTTGGTGATCCACTGCACCCAGCCTATGACGGCATCTGATTGACTGCTTGACTAGATGGCAGTGGGTACTCTTTATTCCCCTCCCCTTTCCCAATGAGGTCCAAGAAACGGAGAAGCAAAGCCAAAATATGGACTGTTTAGACTTAGTAATAGTTAGTGGTCTATCCCAACTAGTAATTATTTAATTTATTAATTTCAATAAGCTTGTAGTTATAGCTTATAAGCATAATTATAATTTCAGAACAAAAATGGTGTGAAATTCTAAAAAGAAATAACAATAGAAACAAAGAACTGAGTCGCACCTGCCAATCGTTCAGCATGAGAAGGGAATACATTGTCTTCTATTTTTGGTGGCTTCCAACGAAAACGAACAGGTTGAATATTCACGGATCTAGCTGTCAGTCGTATGCAGCTCCTCGAAGTGGCACTGAGAGCCATTGAATTAATAAAGTTATATGTTTTTGGCGGTGACTGGAAGATTTAATACATGTGCACAACAACGTCGCTATATTGCTTGCTGTCGTCTTCAGTAATATGTCGTTCTTTCTTATTCATCAACTGACGCATATATTTCTTTAAAAATGAATGTTTGACGCAGAACTTCCCTTGGGATAAACAAATAACACCATGCATGTACACTAGGGGGCGAATAGTTCAAAATTGTGTTCTGGCAAATGTTGGGAAATAAAACAGTGCATTACAATTAAATGTTTTAATAAGTTATTAGTAGTATTAGTAACTTGTTAAAGTATTCAGTATTTTTGCAAGTTTGAATCCTATTTTTTCAATTTGTTTTCATTACTATTTATAAAATAATATATATATATTATACTACTAAACTATGTGAAGTTGAAAAGAAATCCAGTCGTAAAAAGTATCGAATATTCTTATTGGGTGGGGACATAATCAACAGTCGAAGCAGGTATATAAACAGTACAGTATTTTAATAGGTAGCCGTCTGACCTCCATAGTCCTTCATAGTTATTGATATTGTTATTCATTTCACAAGTTTTCAACAACGCAAATCTCTGATAGTCATCAACATCATCATGAACCACTTCTGCCGTTAAGCGACGTGGGGAGGAATAATTTTCGATCCAGTGCACGTTGGCTGCCACTGGCTATTGTCATGCCGTGAAGGCGTGGTGTCTTTAATGTTGTCGATCCATGTTTTCCGCGGCCGTCCTCTTGCTCTTGTAGTTGATCTTCGGAGATGTAGTGCTTGATCTTGCTGCATTCTAACGAGATGGCCAAACCACTTGAACAGCTGTTTCACGATGAATCTAGTACAAGGTGTTGTTCCCACAATTTGCCTGATAGTTTCATTATTCACTCGATCTCGGATGGTTAGTTTGGCTGCTTTTCTCAGACACCTCATCTCGCAGGTGGTGATTTTGCGTATATGCGCTTTAGATAGTGTCCATGTTTGGCACTGGCAGCTTAATGTTGGAATAAATATGCTATTGATAATCTGTCTCTTTGCACTCATAGTTAGGCTATGCTTGGATGTCTTAATAATGGTGACAATTGGTATATAAGTGCACTTGCTTTCTGACATCTGGTTTCTATTTCTCTGTCAATTCTACCATCTTCTGTGATCATACTTCCTAGATATTTAAACTCCCTAACTTGATTCAGGGCAGAACCAGAACCATTCAGCTGTATGTGTAGTGGGGCAGAATGTCTACTAACTTGCATTGTTTCGGTTTTATTTACATTGATCTTCATGTTGTATTTACTACATGTTGAGTTTAAGCTGTTAATGTGGTCTTGCAGTCTATGTTCTTCAGGGTAGAACAAGAACTGGTCGTCAGCAAACAGTAGTTCGTTTAGTGTGGGTGAATCGATTACTTCTCCTGATGTATGTACTTCCTCTCGTGATTATAAAGGTCTATGTTGTTTTTATCATAACATGCTTCTTTAGATATTCTGTCTATATAGATGTTAAATAAAAGTGGGGAGAGCACACATCCCTGTCTCAACCTGTGTTGACTGTGAACATATCTGATATGCCTTCTTGTGTTTTTACTGCACTTTGGCTTGTGTGGTACATGGCTATGATGTTCTCTAGTAACTGCCCTTTTACCCCGTAGTTCTCAAGAACAGACCACAGTTTGTTTCTTTCCACTCTATCAAAAGCCTTTTCCTGATCTATAAACACAATATTCTGTTTGGTATTATACTCAATGGCTTTCTCACACACTTGCCTCAGAGTGAATAATGCATCTGTGCATCCTATGCTTTTTCTGAAACCGAATTGTGATGCTCTCAGCTGTTGTTCTGCTATGGGTCTAACTCTCTGTTCTAGTAATTTGGCGTACATTTTTCCTAAGTGACTCAGTAGTGAAATACCTCTGTATGCTTCACATTCTCTCCTATTACCTTTCTTTTTCCATATCGGTACTATTAATGCCTGTTGCCACTCAGCTGGGACCTTTCTTTCTTCCCAAGCTATATTAAACATTCTAGTAAGCCATTTAACACCTTTTCACCGCAGGCTTGGAAACCTTCTGTATTAATTCCATCCAGACCTGGTGCCTTGTTTCTAGGGCAGTTTTGTTTTGTAAAACTGCTCTTACTTCCGCTGCTATGAAATTTGGTTCCTCTTGTTCGCAGCTTTGAGGTACAAAGTTGAAATTATCTACGTTGCCTGTGGGGTTGAGAAGTTCTTGAAAATACTCTGCCCATCTTGCCAACCTCTGTTGTGGACTAAATAGAGGTATGCCTCTCCTGTTGTTGATGATAGTTGTTGGGTTGTAGTTTATGTCTCTTTCTCTCATGATATGTTTTTAGCTATTGACACTTTTTAGCATAGGATCTCTCCTGATTTTTACTAGTACAGTAGTTTAAAATGAATAATTTATTGTATTATCCATTACAATATTTGTAATAAAGTACAAATTTGCAAAGTTTACAGTCCCAGGTCTCAATTTATATCGGATTTAATAATTGGCTATCCTCCGAATTATGTTCCCAAATTATCGAGGCCGAAAATATACCATATCAGGGCCTCAGTCACGTGTCAATTGCGAACTTCCGGCGATTTAATTTGCGTACTTCCGGTAACTTCACACTCGCACGGCGTGAATTAGGGCTAAACTAGATGGCTGGGAATCTCAACAGCAGTAACCGCATGCATCTCCTGCAGGTTCTTTCATTTTATTTGCTCGTGAGTCCGAACCATCTAGTTTAGCCCCAATCCATGCGGCGTAGGGGATACTCTCGGCTGTGGCGGTATAGTCCCCAGAAGTATGCAATTGACACGTGACTAAGGCCCTGTTAGGGTATATTTTCGGCCTGGATAATTGGGGACCGTTATTCAGAGGATAGCCTAATAATTATTGTGTTTTTTGTATGTATGTTTATTAATAGACACACACACACACACACACTTAATTAGCATCCCTAATATAGTATTAATTAATATATACTATTTTTCTTCATTAAAATCTTCGAACACATTTCAAGATTTTGAGTAGCAGTTAAAATAAAGAAAATTTTTAGCAATCCCCATCGTCATTGTCCTAAAAAGATACTGGTGTTGGTCGCAGTTCAGTACAGTTGTGAACTTATAATGCGCATCCAATCAGTCTGTTCGCCATCCCCTCTCCCCACAACCCCGTTTTTTTTTGTCCCCCAGAAACATTGCTTTGTGAATTTTTTTTTTAAATGTATTTGTGGCAAAAAATAAAAAGTGCAGTATAAAACTGTCCTAATGGTTGGTAGTTGCTGGCACATGTAAATGGTAGTGGAGTTCACCTAATCGGATCTTTCGAAAAGAGAAAGACTAAGATGTATGATAACAGTGGGAGGATTTATATAAATAAGAAAAAAAGTTATTAACAGCTGCATGAATAATGTTAGTGTATGTTACTTTGAAGCATTCCATCAGAGATCATTTATTGTGGATGATTAAGCTTATGAGCAAAAAAAAAAACATTTGATGATGATGATGATGAATGTGTGGTGACTTTAATATTAATTTTCTTTCGTATTTTTCCCCAGGAGGAAAGTTGCATATTAATGAAAATATAAAAGATTGTGGGGGAAATGTGGAACACATAATGTTTAAGTCACTGAAAGTCACATGGCAAGTGAAACTTTGTGGTTTATGTAGTTGACTAGAACTGCTCTTTTAACTCCTTCAGTACCAACTAACTTAACATACATTTCTTGGTTTCAAGTGAAATACAATGCTTTTCTGAACTTCTTTTGAGGTCTCTGGTTGTTACATAACCTCATCCTGCCCACTTGTTACTTTAACACCTTTTCCATAGCTGTTGATGCTTATTGCTACTGACTTTCTTCATTTAAATAACATCATTTACATGATGGCAATTTATTCCACCCCATGGTACCTTAGGAAAATTGTTATGTTTCTTAGAAGCTGTTTAATTTATACATGTTCAGTGTGTTTGGTCTTAGCAGTGACATTGATACACATATGTGAATTTGGCAGTTCATGATTCTCTTGCATCAGAGTGCGTCAAAGGATCAGGGAGATCAAGGCTGTAGATTCCAGGTCTCAGGCAGTAGTGCACATGAGCTGTTTTCCCCAAGAGTCTGTTCTGTATGAGTACTCACACCTATGGGGTGAAAGGATTGCACTCAGGCTGTTTTACACTCAAGACTGTTGTGAATGACTGAAGAGGCAAAAACACATTGGATCTAGAAGAGACAGCGTCAGTAATGGGAAAAAAACCAACCCTAAGCCTCGGAGACATTGGCTGAAAAGCTATGGGCTATGTAACCTAAGCATGGACATCTGGTCAGCGTTAGTGTCAGTGCCAGGCTATGGACTGCCAGGCTATAGACTTCAAACCATCCTCCTCTTCCCTAGCAAACAGGTAATACTAGGGTGACCATTTATTTTCAGCAATAAAAGAGTTTCTTCTATGGAATTTGTACCTAAAAAGAATTCTCACTAGAGCTACAGTGTATCTTCAGATACTATTGTTAAATTTGTTTATTTTTTAATTAAGAATCAAAATCACAGCACTCTGGAAAATCCCATAAGTGCTCTGTTATCTTCAGCAGCAAGAGCAGAGTTCCAGTTTCAGTGGTACCGATAGCAGTTTGATGTATATCCATCTCACCTTTCCATAGAGCGCTGATCATCGACCAGATCCCATGGTCACTCCTCGCAGTGCCATTCTCTTCAGACCATGATGATCCATCTGTGCTTCTGCACTGTTCAGTCACCCCTAAAGGGCCCTTGACTCTTTGAGTCCCAAGGAACGCATCATACGTTCACATTTTCCTACCTAGAAGCCCAATGAACGCACAATGCACTGATTTTATGACTCTCTTTACTACCCCCTGAGCCTGTAATGCTAAACCCCCTGTGACTCAAAGAGTTTAAGCATCTAACTTCAGATACTGTCTTAAGCTGTCAATGAGGAGAGGGTGAAGAGGAGGAAATAGAGAGGAAACAAGGTTGATAAATAGGTGAGCAGGAGACTCAGACAACTACACACAGACCTCTCCCCCCCCCCCCCCCCCCCCCCCCAATAAACATAGCGCCTGGGATTCAAGCAAGTTAGAATGGGTTACTGGAATGGTTTATGAATTTGATGTTACTATGCTTCGAGCATTAAAGGAAAGATATGAGTGTCCTAGATATTTCAGCCAAGTCAATACTACTGGAAAAGAAGGACATGTGCTAGGTCACAGTTCATGAGAGGTTATTCAAGGTATACAGATTAACACCGGGGCACATCTGGAATTTAGTAAATGCATATGCTGCTTTTGACTTTCTTATAACAAAACATGAGGACATTTCTGTTAGTAGGCTGATCATTTGTGGGAATTTAAATGGGTGAATCAGAGCATGGTACATGAACTTGAGAAAGTAGGCAAAAAATTGCTCTATAGTGGATACAGAAGTGGTCTATAAATGACAGTAGGCCAGCTAGGATGGCAATGGGACCTAAATTGCAGAGACAACTATTAAATTGGCATTTGTTATCCAGCCAGCAGTACTGGACACAAAATGGACTGTTCTGGGTGATGGGAGTGGCCATCTGCTATTCTCAGTCTTGATTTTAAAACCCAGCAATATCTAGGCTATGAAAACCTTTAAGGTTTTTAAGTGTGAGTAGACCTACACCCTTATTGGATACCTGTGATAGAAGGCATACAACAGAACTATTAACCGTTTTTCTATGCAGCTTTCATGGCAGACCCCAGACATTTAACGTGCGTAGAATGTAAAGAAAATAGAGACAGAGTACAGAAGCAGAAAGGGTTCGAAGAGAAAAAGTAGAAGAGTTGAAGCGGTGTGCAGGTGGTGCCAAAAAAAATCTAAATCTGAACATTTCACGAATGGAATTTGAGGGAAAAATAAGTTCTGAAAATTACACCGAAAAATTTTGCTTTTTTTAAAAATAATTAAAGAAAATCTGGCTATTGGAATATATATTATGTACAGAGATAACGTTGTGTCTATTACAACAGAAGGAGTTAAAGGGGAAGCATTTCTGCAGAGATCCACATTTGTGCATGCTTGAAAGAAAAAATATGAGGAGAGGAGTAGGTCAGAGTGTCAGAGCAACAATAAGACTTGTGTAGGGCTAGTCACATTGAGCTGGGAGTGTAGGGACTGGCCAGCAGGCACTGCAGAATCAGAAATTGATCAGTTCATGACAGTTCCAGTCCAGGTGATGTGGTTATCTACACAGGTGGTTTTGTGTTGAGGCAGAAGTGTTTGGGGGTTTCATAGCAAAAGCTAATGGATGACTGTTAGTTTAACAATTCCTGGCACAACATCTTGTTTGAAAATGGTGGCGGAGGTGTCTACTAGCTTGAGAACTAGCTGCACACACATCTTGATTTATCAGTCACAAAGATTGCTGAGAAAGGTGGAGACAGGAATGCTACATGCAGAGTAGCAAGCATCGTTTCTAAAATTCCAGCTAGTATGCTTTGGATGTTTTCTTCATGGCATTCAGATGTGACAATGTGCCTATGGTCGAGGCAGCCAGAAGAGCTAGAAACAGAACCTTATATCTCCCTCGACACGGTAAAAGAGGAAGTGAAGAAGAAGAAGATTCAGATGTGAACAGGCAGTATGGATAGTTCTGCACCACTTGACAGATTGGATAGTTCTGCACCACTTGACAGATTGGATAGTTCTGCACCACTTGACAGATTGGATCGTTCTGCACCACTTGATGGTAAATAGATACATGACAAGCTAGATGTGGTCAAAGCCCTTTGGGATTAAGTGAACATTGCAGAATTGGTCATCACTCTCTGAAGAAGAGAACAGTGCAGCAGGAAGTAACCAGAGGATTAGGCTGACATTCAAAATTTAGAGGAAGGGCAAGATGGACTTACAGACTGCTACTCTGAGCTGCACTCTGCACTTACCTCTAGGGACAGAGCACTTATGAGAATGTCCTGAGTGCTGTGATGTCAGTTCTTAACTTCATTCAACTCATCTCAGTCGCACTAAATGCAAAATGACATATATTGGGAATTCTTGTAAGAAGTTAGTTTAATTTATGAATATTTACAAGGAGGCCTTTTGATTTATCAACCCTTAATAAATTTTTTTTTCAGTGTTCTCCTTTTTCACAGTTTTTTCATTTAGGGAGAAGATGGGTTGACATTGAAGACATTATACCTCCACATGGAATGACAATAGCCAGGATGACCCATTGAATGTTAGACCACAAAATGTTCCTCCCTGCAATGATCAACACTGAAAGTGGAAGTTGATTATATTGATGAATAATGTACGTTTTTGACTAATCTTGCAACAGGTGTCGCAGGCTATTGTACAACACTTCGCTTTGCCCAGTTTTTAAGTCAACTCGTCATTTTACAGCTAGAGATGCTTCAGCTGCATTGAAGCCTTTTTATTTTATAGTTCATCCTGATTTATTTGGGCAGCATCCAGCCGAACGGGTAAGTTTCCATCCAACACCCTGTATGCACAACTGAAGTGTATGTGATGAATATTCAGTCATATATATGTTTATTATCTTTCAGTGGACATGTTAAAAAGCAAAATAAAACTTGAGCTGCAGTACGTTTCAACGTTTTCCGTTTCTCATTACATTTTGTCTTAGTTTTAAAAATTACTTTGTCCAGCGAATACTGTAGTGGGAGGCAGCTGGCCGAATAGTTACAAGCAATGGTTTGTGTTAAAAACCTGGGTTTGAATCTTCAGTAAGATGATTGACATTTTTTTCTGTCAGAAACAGGAATAAACTTCCTAATCAACGCAGTTCATGGCAACTGCACTAGCCACGGGACCCTAAATTCTCAGGCTCATGCCTCCCCCCCCCCCCCCCACCATCATCATTATCATCAAATGCCTTGCTGACTGGCATGGAGCCAGAGGTGACAGGCGAGTAATGATTGACTCTGTAGCAGCTGCAATAGGGTACTCATGGTTTTTTTTTCTGCTGAAAACCCACCTTGGCTGGAGACATTTCACAAATGATGCAAAAGTTGAATGTGAGGTAAAAGTGTGGTTTAGAGCATGCAGTTCTATGCAGTAGGTTTGGGAGGACTGATTAAACGATGGAACAAGTGCATCAATGTTGGTGGAAATTATGTAGTAAAATAAAGGGACAGTTAATTATGTATATGAATAAACGTTTTCAAGTTGCTATTGCCTTTAGTTTTTTTGTTTCTTAAACAACTATTTGTGACTTACTTATTGACTTACCTTTGTAATTGTCCAGGATTCACAGCCATATGTTAAAATTGGCTCTATATTGCATGCTCGAATTCTTTTTGTAAACTCCAGTGACATGGTTTTGTTGCATAACAAATTTCTCATTTTATAAAAAGCAGTTTTAGCCTGCCTATTCTGTTTTTATCTCGGTGATGCCTATTCCATTGGAAATTAACCATGTGCAAATAATTATGAGGGTAAGTCAATAAGTCACAAATGGTTGTTTAAAAAAAAAATCTACAGACGATACCAACTTGAAAAGCATCATAGTTTTCAGTGCTGCCATACCACAGTTACTTGCAATGTAAACAATATTTATATCACAGGCCATTATCAAATGTCACTCACAAATATTTTAATTTTTCAGTTCTTTGAATTTCCTAACCATTTGAAAAGGTATTTACTATGCCAGATTAGTTTCCTAATTTTCCTGGTCTTCTTTGTACATATTCAGGCATCAGCTAGAAAATATTTAAAGAAAGCAATAGTGAACCCGAGGTTGATGCTTTCGTAAAGTTTGTCCTCAGATTAGTAAAAATAAAATTATAAACCTTCAACAACACAACCAATGCCACCATATTGGCAGTGGAAGTCTCTACACGAATAGCATGAAGTCAAAGACTTTACTAGTTGCTTAGAGAGAAATGGATACTCATATACTGGAAACAGACAAGAGAACTGTGAAACAGATTTTTAATTTCCATCTTATCAATAAATCTGACAACAAACCCAGACCCAACTTCAGACATGATCTTCTGCACAGAAGACATCCTTCACACAGCTCATCATGTAGCAGGTCCTTTGCAGAACGTCGCTCTCATCACAGTCTGCCTGTAAGAAACTCGGTCTCTTGCCAGTTCTCCCGCCTCATGAACTTTCACACTCAAGGAGTCACTTATATCCTGTGCCCATCTTTGTGTCGGTCAGCCTCTGCCCCTCCTTCCTGGTACCATGCCTTCTGCTATAATTTTTTCCAATCCGTCGTGGCGCTTGATATGACCAAATTATTTCAGCTTTCAAGCCAAAAGTCCATTTTGGACGAACAACCGTGACTTACCACCGGAATTCACAGCCGGTGAACAAGAAGAAGAAGATTTCAGCTTTCGAGAAAGGATGCTGTTTATTAGCCAATCTTCCTTGATGTTCAGATCTTTTAAGATGTCAATATTTCTCATCTTCTTCGTCCAAGATATTCTGAGAATCTTTCTATAGCATTTCAGCTCAAAAGCCCCTATTCTCTTTCTTAAGGACTGAGAGATAGTCCACGACTCACATCCGTATGTAGCCACAGGGAAGATGCATGCTCTCAAAATTCTAATTTTTATCTCCTTGCTGGTGCTTAACCATAGACTTTTAAGGCTGTTCAATCTTTGCATTGCTATGGCCATCCTCCTTTTAATTTCTGTCGAACAGTCTCCATTGTTGTTTATTATAGAGCCTAGATATTCAAAGTTTGTGACATTTTCAATTTCTTCATCATTTATTGTTATTTTTGGGTGACAGCCAGTTTTATCTGTGGACATTATTTTCGTTTTCTTTAAATTCAAGAACAGATTTTGATTTTCACTGTGTTTTTGGGACGGACAATATTAAATTTTCTATTCCCTTTACCCTGTTCGAAAGGAGGACTGTGTCATCTGCGTAGCGGAGTTCCGGAATAGGGTTGCCACCAATTTTGAGCGGATCATAACTGTCACAAGTCTGGTCATTTTTGACATTTCTCATTATATTTTCTGCGTATATATTGAATAGGTATGGTGAGAGAATGCACCCCTGCCTCACCCCCTTTTGCACCTCGAACCCATCCGATGTTTCACCAGCTGCTCTGATGGCTGCTTGTTGTTCATGATAGAGATTTTCAACTAAATGCACTCAATGCGCTGGAAACCCCATACTTTTCATAATAATCCACAGTTGGTGGTGCTGGACACAATCAAATGCCTTGCTATAATCAATAAAACAAGCATGAAGATCTACATTGTATTCTCTGCATTTTTCAAAAATTATTCTCATATTAAATATGTTCCTCTACCCTGTCTGAAACCCGCTTGTGCTTCATCTAGTTCATATTGTAATTTCCTTTCAATCCTTTTCATTATAATTCGTAAGAGGATTTTGCTAGCATGACTTATTAAAACGATGGTACGGTAGTTGGAGCATAGTTTTGGATTTCCTTTCTTTGGGAGAGGGATATAGACTGTTCTTTTCCAATCTTTAGGCCAAATGCCACTGTTCCAGATCTTCGAGCACAGTGCATGGTAGATTCGGACGCTGGCTTCTCCTCCTGCTTGAATTAGTTCTGCTGGTATTTGGTCGCAACCTGGTGACTTTCCTTTCTTCAAGCTGTGTATTGCTGATCGTACCTTATCCAGTAAAGGCTCTGGTTCTTTTTCATAACTTCCACAAGTCGTTTTTGAATTACCTGTCACATCCTCATACATTTCTCTGCAGTATTCTTTCCAACTTTCTAATATGTCTTTGGTTTCCGTTAATGTGTTACCGTTTCTATCACTTATTACATGAAAATAAGGCCTGAATTCGTATTTCAATGTTTTAATTTCTTTAAACATGTCTCTGTCTCTTCCCTGCATCTGGAGTTGTTCAATTCTATTACAGGTATTTATAATAAACTGTTTTTTATCTCCTCTGATAGCTCTTCTGATTTATTTCGTGTAGTTCCTATATGTATGGCTATTTTTTTCTGTTCCTACTTGCTTTAAATTTCTTCTTTCTTCTTGAGCTGTTGTGATGATGATGTTTCTTGTTTCATCAGCCAACTCATCAGGTGTCATATCCTCCTGCACTGCCATTAGCGCCTCAAATTTGTTTCCAACCTCAGTGCTGAAATCATTTGGCAAATTACTCAAATCAAAATGTATTGGCTTAGCCCCTTTCAACACTTTTTTTCAGTTTTATTTTAAACTCTGCAACAAGAAGTTTGTGATCAGTGTCACAGTCAGCTCCAGGGAGTGTCTTTGCAAATATTATACATGTCTTCCATTTTTGTTGTATTAAAATGTAATCAATTTTGTTCCTGCTTTTTCCATCTGGTGAAGTCCAGGTGTAGAGCCTTCTTGGGTGTTGTTTAAATAGTGTGTTGGTAATACACATATTCCTTTCTATGCAGAATTCAATCAGTCTCTCCCCACTCTCGTTTCTGTCTCCTATGCCGAATGGGCCTCTGACTATTTCCTCTACCTCTATTCTACCTTGGCCAATTTTTGCATTAAAATCTCCCATGATGATTATAATATCTCTTTTTTCTACCCTTTCTAATGTCTCTTCTAAACTGTCATAAAAGTTTTGAATTTCATCTTCCTCTGATGCATATGTTAGGGCATAGACTTGAATAATTGTGATGTTTCTTTTCCTTGACTTGAGTCTGACAGTTAGAATTCGGTCGCTGATCGGATTATATCCAAGAAGTGATGAAAAAACTTTCCTTGTCATCAGAAAACCCACCCCGCTCAAACCACTCTTTTCCTTTCCTGAATAAACAAATGTATCTCCTGTTTGAGTCACAAAATGGACTTGACCCGCTCATCTATGTTCAGAAATTCCTAGTATATCTATTTTATTTCTTTCTAATTCTCTGCCAACAATGCTAAGTTTTCCTTATACATGCTCCTGACATTCCATGTTCCTAACCTTAAAGTTTTCCTTAGAGCGGTGGCAGAGTTTTCTGTTGTAGTACCGTCGGGCTTAAGGCCGTCATCACAACTACCCTTACTTGCTGATATCACACAGCTGATAGATTAATAAATAGGTAATGAGTAGTGGTAAGATGTCTACCAGTGGCCCGAAGATCTTGGGCTCAAATCAGAATGATATTGACTCTCTGGTTGACCTAGCTTAAACTGAGTAGCATGTAGAATCATGTGAAGTAAAGACAGTGGGTGCGATGTTGACCACATCACCCATCAAGTGCTGATAGATCTATAAAAATACAACTCCTGCATTGTATGTCCAATACTTCAATGTCATGAATAGGGTCCTGGCCATTTTCAAATGACCACAGACCAGTAAGACTTGTAATAAATAAGAAGAAATAAGATGCAGATCTGCTGTGCCGACATACATCTTATAGTCTATGCCATGTGGTATTGGTAGTCATGTCTATCCATAACCTTCTGTCTCATGAACTTTCAGTCATTTTGGACACAGATGATTTTCTATGCCATGATGTCAAATTGTCAAACATCTTTCTTCTCGGTGTCCCACT